AACAATGTTCTAGCACTAAGACATAGTATATTATCATCAAAGACACAGTATTTTATCATCAAAGACATAGTATTGTACTTATGTAGAAGAATTCTATCAATGTTCTTATTGGCTTTTAAAAAAGTATATTAGCTATTTANAAGGAAAAAATTTAATCTGGTTGTCAGCTCACACGATTACATTCGCAAATTAGAGTGTTTCTTGTATTGTATGAATGTTTTTTCGTTCTTATTTATTATGCTATATATATATATAGCGCTTTTTTACTGACTGAAACACAGAACTGATCTGATATTTCATACATTGTATTCTGACAAACAAGTTACGAAATTATTTTTAAATCATTTTTGAAAGATGTGAGTAAATAAAAGGATGCTTGAGTTCTCTGCTAGCTTTATATATATATGCATACATTATGTGTTTTAATCAATATTTTCTTGAATTTTCCTTTTTATTTCGTATTTTTTGTTTTTGTTTATATTTTTGCTTGATTTGTTTCATTGTCATTTCGATTTTTTCATGGCTCCTCAGACTATTATATTGCGATATTTTGCTTTGGCTGTAAATGCAATATAAGAAAGCACTCTATTTTACAGATATAATCGTGTAAGTTGGCGACGATATCATATCTCCTCCTTATTTTGTTTTTCGGCACTTTAATTTTTTTTTATATTTTAAAAAATTTCATTTATTAATTTTTTTTTATCTTTTTAAGAATGTTTTTTTATTTTCTTTGGTATTTTTATCTAATTTCATGGGGCTCTATGCACTAGTAGCATATTAGTAGTATATAAAACTTATTATTTTTCTTAATTTTTTGTTAATCTCTCTTTTATATATATATATATATATATAATTTCAATTCTAAAGCTAGATTTTTAGTGATTTCTTCAGAAAGTAAAAAGGCGACACATTTTTCTTTTTTCGTAACGCAATTTCAAACTAAATATGTACAGTGCTGGAGTTATTAACTTAACTACGATTTGGATGATGAATTTATAATTTTCTCTTGATTAATTGAATTTATGACATTTGGTTAGTTCTCCGAACCAGAGCTTTTGAAGCCTTCTCCATCTAAACTGTTCTGATGATGCCGTTCAAAAACAAACTGAAAAGTATAATCGACTTTCATCTCAAGAGAAGAGTGGAGATAATAATTTCCTTCTCTTTTTGTTACAAGCAAACGATTTTGTGTAGAATTCAGATGTTTTGAAAACAAAAGTTTTTAAATACAAAATATTTTCAAACGATGCAGTAACAATATTTTTTGTCACTTTTCCATAAAAATAAAAACTTATTAATTTAGAAATTGAGAAGTTGATTGGTGCCTTTAAAGTAGAACAATCAAACCACGTTCAGTAGAAATGTTCTAAAAGTTTGTTAAAATCGTATGTTATTATCCGTTGAGATTTTAAATTTTTTATTATAGTTTAATTTTCTGAAAGAAATATCTAAAACATAGATAAAAAAAAAATATTATTAAACTGTTAAACGATGAAGTCCTCAAAAGTTGAAGATATTTATAGCAGGCTTCAAATTTCCATGCAGAACAAACCCATTCTTTTAAATATCGTTTGGGTACTTATTTTATTTTTAATTCATTGAAATGCTCGGAAGTTCATACTTAAAAGAATGTTGATGAGGCAAGGATAAAGGCAAAGTGTGTATATTTTTGTCACCCCCTAACGTAAGGTAGGCTTTAATTTTAATACTTGAAATTAATTTTTTTTTTTTGTTCTTAAGAAATTTTTCGATATTTAATATAATACATATTTATTAATTTAATATGCATCATTAATCTTTTTAGGCTAATAGAAGAACAAATGTTCGATAAATTATCAAGGCAGAATTTTTTTCTCTGTTCGCATTAAAATTAATTATCGAACAAAATTAGAGGAAAATGAAAGGATGTGAACAGAAGTTAACAAAAAATAAAAAACAGAAACATTAAATTTAAAATTATGGAATTTTTACTAAAGTAGTTTCTCTTCAGGGTTTTTCTGCAAGTAGGACAAAAAGAAACTAAAAAATGCGTTGTGACGTCACAGTAGATCCCCCTTAAGTACTATTAATTCACAGGGGTAAGTATTTCAGACTAAAAAATAAAAAGGCTACATTTTACTGCTTTGTGCCAGTGATAAAAATTTTTAAAAAAACAATATGCTTGATAATTTATACCATATTTATTTCGAAAAAATAATTCCGGCTAGCATATGAAGCATTTTTAGAAACCAAACTTTAAAAGTGACTAGTGGACTCTAATGTATAAAAAGACTTATTTTTACAGAAATTGGATCAGTGAGTCGTGAAAAAAAAAATGCGGTAGATAAAAAATTACGAAAAATTTCGACTCATGGCAATCATACGGTAAGATAAATGATGTAAGAAAAATCTATCTTTACATTGTGCTACCCACTAACAAATCTCTAAAATATAATTTACAGAAAATTAGTTGTGTGATTGTTTAAGGTAAAAAAAATAGTAAGAATGATAAATAAATAAATGCTCAGTTTTATAAACAGCAACACAGAGCAGTGCGATTATTATGAACTAAAAATGTTATACAGTGATAAATGAACATACAACTTTTTTCCCTCTGAGTAATTTAACATGCTAATGGGACGAGTGTAATACTCCGATTAGACACCGATATATATGCGTCAAATGAATGGTATAAATTAGTCACGAAAATAAATAGCCCCTTCTCCAAGTTCATGTTTTTGAAGGATTTTCAGATTTTTCGGAACGCTGTTTAATTACTAGGTTGGCTTCTGTTTCTTCGTTTGGCAAATCAAAGTCCTTCTTGTTACGAAAAAAAATCAGTAAAATAATCAATCTTCTCATAAAATAACTCACAAACCTGTGCGGAAAACTAGGCATTGTGCAACGAGTACCTAGCCAATGAGGCCACCTCAGTACTCCTGATCAGTTCCTACCAAAAAAAAATTTTTACAATAATGTTTGTATGAGTTATTAATGTTAATGCAAAAGGGAAAAAGTTTCAGTGATAAAAAAGTCCAATTTAAAATGACTATATGCCCCTATAGTACTATAGGTAGAACTTTAAAGAAATAAGCCAAATATTATATGCGTTAGCGGTTATATATAGATTTGTGGAAGAATGAGGCATTATTCCGTATTAAACAAACTAATTTAACAATTCATGAACTTGAATTTGGTATACTTCTAAGTCATGATGAAATAAAATTTCGTCGACGCTAAATATAAATGCTAAAAATAATGTTTTTTCACTTATTACAACCTGAAATAATACAAAATAAGGGAAAAAATATGGAGAAAAAAATTTTTGATAAAAATTTTACGTCTAAAGGTTAACATTTTAATTCCCGTACATTCTAATCCTCTCATTTTAACGAAAAGTTGATTTCTAATCTAATGATCGGATTACCTAATAAAAAAAATCCACTCTTAAATACTCGAAAGTGCTAACCTTAAATACTGTAATTAATTTCATTTCTTAAAACTTATTTTAAGTACCAACCTTCTCAATACTTTTACCTTATCTCTAAAACTGTTTAAATTCCTTTTTCCTCACAATTTTTCAAAAATGAATGTATCATACCCAATTTAGAACCATGTGATAAAATAAGACTTTTGTGGAACAATAAGTCACATTTTTTATGTTTTAAATATTTCTCAATACTTTTACCTTATCTCTATAACTGTTTAAATTCTTTTTTTCTCACAATTTTTCAAAAATGAATGTATCATACCCAATTTAGAACCATGTGATAAAATAAGACTTTTGTGTAACAATAAGTCACATTTTTTATGTTTTAAATATTTCAAGCAAAAATAAATATTGTTTCAATTTTTAATCCGTACCTGGGTGAAGTAAAATTCGTTTTTTTTTTAACTCTAACATAATTTCGGCAAATTTATTTACATATGCACCTTTGTAATTCATTTGATACATTTTTTATAATTGAAATAGTAATTAAATTGAAATTATCAACATTATTTAAACAAAAATGTACAACAACTGTTTTATTAATTTATTTCAATTTTTTTGCAGCTTTTAAATCTTGCATAATAAATCCTACAAATTTAGTACATATAAATTTAATGTAAAACTTTGACGATTTTATTCGCTTGCAAAATTCAGTCCTTTTTTGAAGTGAGACGTTCACATAGTAAATGCAGGAAAATCCTACTAATAATATGAAGAAAAATTTTACACCAAAAAAAATAATAAAAAAATTTAAGTTAAAAAAATATAGAGCCAAATTACTAAGTACGCTAAAAATAAAAAATGTGTCCATAATTTTGCATTAATATAATAAAATGGTTTAAACAGTATATTAAAATTGAATTTTATAAATTTACTCCTTAATCATATTTTAAAAGAAAAAAAACTAACTTATAGACATTGTTGCAACATAATAAGATTTTAATATACATTTTACTATATTTGTTAATTTAGTAGAACACTTAACTATTTTTTCCAATAACAATTTTTCTTACAAGAGCAATACTTCTAAAACAAAGAGAACTGCCCATAAAATATTAATAGTAGTAAATTTATTATGGTTGAAAAATTCTATTAAAAGTTAATTTGTTTTTGCTTTTCTCCTCCTCGACAATTTTACTTAATAATTATTTATTTTATGAAATTAAGTGAACAGTCTTAGTAAAATTAGAAAAATGAAACTCTTTAGTATTGATACAAATTATATATGAAATTTCCATATCATACCTTTAAAAAAAATTCCACAACTAATTCAATTTATTTTTTCTAACAAAAATTCCCCTGATTTATCATAAAACAAATAAACGGAACTTTATAGCAAAAAGCAAACAAAAATAAAATTTTAGCAACATTAAGAAAGTGGATTTTAATATTGAGTATCAAAATGCCTTATTAATGCATTAATTGTTATAAATATTCCTTTGTAAAGAGTTGAAATGATTGTTAAATGTATTTGGAAAAAAATTATTAAAACAAATGCTAGGCAACTAATAAAATTCCTAATTGGAAATATGGTGTAAAAATGTTTATTACAAATCAACAATCTTTACATTTACATCATGGAAAAATAATACATATCAGATTGGTAAATAAACACCACCTATAGATAACATTTAGCAATTATGCAGAATAAATAGGAATAAACAATAACAGAAATAAATTAAATATTAATGTTATGTACGAGAAATATTAAATAATTACTTGTATATGTATTATAATTTTCAAAAATAGTTAAAAGAAAATGAGATTATAAATATCAAAAAATAAAATCTTGCTGAATAAAAAGAATCTATACTAGTTAGTAGTAAAAATATATTTTAATAAACCATAAAATGTTATGTATTATATTTGTCAAATTGAAAATAAGAAATTTTTAAACAATATAACAATAAATAAAAAATAATTATAATGAAAATTAATTAAAAATTGAGCAAAAATGATTATTAAATATGAAGATGAAATTGCATATCGGAAATCAAAGAATTAAGGTTGGCATAATACAAAGTGACCTAGAAATTTGTATGAAAAAACACACTTTATGCAATATTTTTATTAGTTTTAAACAATATTTACTTAAGCGATAATTTTATGATTTTTAAATTATGAAAACTAAAACTTTATATTATTCACGTTTTTTATTCCATATTTTATATAAACTTAAACAATAAAACAGCAAACCTGTTTTAGCTTTAGTTGCATGAATACTAATTAAGTACCATAGAAACTTACATAAATATTCCAAAGTTAAACTTCAAACAGTAAAATATAACAGATTAGAAAGAGAAAAAAAATTGCCCATTTGCCAACGAATAATTCACATACATAGCACAAATGCTAAATATTTTAAGAGTGAAAATTAGTTAATTTTTTAATTCCTGGAATGAAAACATGCTCTATACAATTTTTTTTATACGCTTGCTACTTTTAAAATACTATTCAATTATTAACCCTTATTTTTGAAGTTCTACAAATTACTTCTATTCCCTATCTCAAAAGTACAATAACAACTTTTGATAATAAGTGCTTAATAAAATGAAAATTCATACTATAGGATTATCTCGCAAAAATAATACTCAGTAATTTTCGAAAATAAATTTTAATGCAATTTACAGAAACATAATTTTTCTAACTAATCTGAAGTCAAGTTTGGGTAGTAACAAAGCCTTTACCATTTAATGTTTGCAAACTGCACCTCATTTTGTTCCTTAAATTTGTCTTTTAAAAACTTACTTCCAATGAGTCATTTATTATTCTTTGCATAATAACTTAATCTTATTATCTTACTATCTGAATTATAATATGACAATGTATCAATGCCAGTGTCACATGTTTTTTACGTAAACAATCATAACTGAATTTAACAATTTAATGAAAAGCACCAAAAGCAATCTCCCACCAATGAATAAAAGGCATCTCAGTCACTAAGAAAATTTATCTTTTGTAGTAAAACAGCTGTTTTGTACTAAAAATTCACTCAACAGTTAAATTACAGAAAAATTTACAAATGAATGCTTTTCAAGTAAGAAAAACAATTTTTTTTGTACATAATATTCTGCAACATAAAAACATGAACCATTTCGATAAAAAGAAGAAAAAAATTTAGCAATAAATCTTTTTAACCAGAAGTTAAGCATTAAATAATTCCTGACCGAATTATTATTAAAAGTACTTCCCATAAAATCTAATGAAATGTAATGTAAATAATTTTATCATCACATATCATTTGTTGTTGTCTGTATTATAATAAACAGTTATGCATAATTCTTTAAAGTGATTTTAAATTTGAAAAATGCAATTAATACTAATTTTATTTATTCTAAAAATGTTTTAAATAATACTACAATGAAAAAAAACCAAACCACCTTCCCTCATTTATTACATGTAACACTTACCATTTTTCTCTTAAGGGAAAATTGGAAGGAATTTTATATTGCTTTCTAGAAATTATATATATATATATANACTTATATATATATATGAATCTTTCACATTTATAAATAAGTACATTACATGTAACATTATAACATACAAAATTTTCAAAGGCGAGTTTATCACACATGAGCCACACATTCAAAATGCATGAAAATATATTATCACAAATTTGAAAACTCTGCAAGCTCACTCAATAAATAGGGAATATTTAAAATATAAAACTAAAAAAAAAAAAATTTAATAAATGTATAATTGGCATAGTTCAAAATACTTATTAAATATATCACATTTGACATGAAGTGCATGAAAACAACTTTATAATTTTTAAAAGCATTTAACTTTGAAATGAGTATAACACAAAATGTTGAAAACAATCATGCTATGTGAAATACAACAGAAATGAGTTAATTATGTTATTTGTAACTGAAATGAATTTACATAATACTTTTAAAAGATGCATACTTTTATTTTTAATAAATAAAAGTATACAAGTTTTACTAAAATGAATTACTTTGATATGTTATAAACAAAGGTACCTTTTTAATGTGCATTTCATAATAAACAGAAATTTACAAGCAGAGTTTATGGCAGAATTTCAAACACACTCTTTTTTTTATTACATTTCATATTGCTCAATGTTTCATTTAAAAAAAAACATGTGTATTGCTTGTTTTTGTTATCAAGAAAACATGCATTGTAATGCATTAGGTACAACATTCATTCTTTTAATATTTTAAACTTTTTAATTTCAATACCGCCCAAGGAATTTCAAGGAAACTCCAATTACTCTTAAGCATTACTGAAAACTTTAATATAACAAATAAAGAAGAAAACATAATATAAAATTTAATATAAATACCAAAGAAAATTTCAAAATTTGCATACAATTAAAAAAATTTCTAAGTACTTATGTTCTTAAATGATAAAAATATTATACGGTGGCACTTTATCCTTTTTATAATTATTTAACTTTCATTTTATAAATTTTAAATTAAGTGACAACAATAGAGAAATCATACAAAATATATTTTCATTAATACAACCCAAATGAAATTTATAATACTGAATTAGAATCTGTAACAAATCCAAAATTGTTTAAACGTTCTTAAATTAACTTAGCATCTTTGCACATGCTGTAAAATTTTGAACTTGTATCTACTATTAAATTCTCAGGTTTGCCTACTTCAATTACAGATCCTTTTTCCATCACAATAATTCTAGAATAAAGCAAAAACATTAAATGAAATAAATATTAGATATATTATAAAATATTTTACATACAAACATAAAAGAAATAAATATATACTATGGCTCTAATAGGCATGGTTGTATTCACTATTTTGTGTTACTCATTAGTAGAGTTGTAAGTTTGTTGCTGGTAAATATAATCTTTGCAAAAAAAATGTGAAAATTTTGCATGAACCAAAATGCAAAAAAATATACAATATATGTACTGAAGGACATAAGCATGAAACAAAAATATTTTTACTTGAAATATCTTTTTTTAAACTGTTTGCATTGCTCAAATGCAGTTGCTTTACTTACAGAATTCATATTTTTAACTCTCAAACTTATATGAGAACAGTTTGAAATGAAATGAGATCAGCTTTAAAAGTATACTAAGCTAAGATTTTACTTATTAGCCATCAGAAATTGCAGCATTTTTACCCCTTTTTATACAAAAGGTTCAGTGCAATAGCCTATGTGATATATGCTTACCCTCTTATTTCAGAAAATTTCAAGTCAAAAATACAGGCTAATATTTTTTTTTCTTTTTTATTCTTATTACACTTCAAAAAGGTAAGTATCTTTAACAGTTTATTATTCAATGGGTACAGAGACTACCTTACTTAACAGAATCGGAATTACCTCATATCTTCTTCCATTTTTAAAAAATATATTTATACATTATCAGTTGTGAAGCTTCAGAAAAGTGCTAGTTGCCATTAAAACAATAAATAAACAGGTAAATAAATTAAAATACAAGAAATCTATAATTTTAAAAAATATTGCAGATTTTAGAAAAAATAAATTTATAATTCGCAAAAATTTGCACTGTGACGAGCTTGCAACCCTATTCATTAGTTACAAAAATGTTTATATAATACATTTACTATACTATTTAATTTAATAAAACATTTAAATTGTACTCCCATAAAAAACTAATAATAGAATTGTTTCAATCATGCTCAATTTGATTACCAGCCTATGAAAGGGTTTGACGCTAAATATCATATTTTAATAACACCTTTAAAGAAGCAAATTAATTGATTTAAAGATAGGAATCTTAAACGTATGGCCTGTGAGCTAATAATGGCTCATTGATGATATTTTATTAGCTCACTGAATTATTTTCCTTTTTTTTAAAAAATAGTCCAATAAGAAAACAAAAAATTGTAGAAAGATCAGCAAAAAAGTAATTTAAAAGTTTTAAATTATTTCAAAGCATATATGATGGAACCATGGCTAGGTACTAAAAGCCTTTTATCATTAAATAATGAAGTTCAACAATTCGGGTAAAGGAAAAATATATATATATGTGAATATCATGGTGAGAAGTGCTTACTTTGTATTTCTGGGGAGATTACTAGTCATTTAAATATTTTGAGCTGTGGTTTAACAGGAAAAAATCAACTTATTTACAATTTTTCCAACTATGCAAAAGCTTTCAAATCTAAATCAACACTCTATTAAAGTCAGAAACTCAAAAACACAAATTTAATTCCTTCTTTAACACTAACATAGCTAATGAAAAATTTAACATGAAATTCAAACAACTATGCCGAATGCATTTAAAATTCAAGAATAGTTTGAAACTAGATTTTCTAACTAGACTTTTGGAACTAGATTTTGTTAATGTGAAAAGTGTTCCCTCTGAACTACAATTAGATTTTGCAAAATTTCCAGTGTGACACTCTACAGTGAAAAGCAAATATCTTAAAATTTGTTTCTCAAAAGATTTTTTTAAAATATGTATTAAAAGAAAGTTATCAAAAAAATACACAAGCCTACCCTATTTGCACATGAAAGCACTTCAAAAATATGCAGATGGTAAGGAAAGTTTGAAGAGCTCAAAAATAGGTGTAAATTCTCAAGACTTGCCAGACGTTAATGAAGACAAAAGAAATGAATTCAAATATAAAATGTAAGTTGTTAACGAAAAATGGAAAATAAAGCTAGAAAACTGCAGTTGCCAAGACTGGAACAAAAATAAAGATGAAAAAACAGAACAAGAAAAACCACTGTGGTTGAGAGAAGCAAATAAGGATAAAATGTAATTCCATGTGCCATGGAAATGTGGTGAAAAATTAATGCTGTTAGCAAGGAAATCAGCATTCATATGAATGAAGCAAGATTCCAAGCCATCAAGAGAAGTTGATGTGACTGGAATGGAAATAATTTCGGCATCGCCGAAATTGAATTTATACCCAAGATTCCAACAATGTGCAGCTATTGATGATTTATCTTATTCTTGATAAAAGATGTATCAATCGTGTTCATTGTTCCATTCATATGAATGCTAATTTGTTTGTTAAAAACATCAGTTCCTCACCACCTCTCCATAGCCCACGGAAATGCATTTCACTCTGATTCACTCCTACCTGCCACAGTGGTTTTTCTTTTCTTTTTTTTAAAATCCTTATTTTTGTTTCACTCTCGCCTACTATGATTTGTATTGTTTCTCACCTCTATTTTCCAATTTTTTGTTCGTAATTTAATTTTTTGTACCTTATCACTTTTGTTTCTTCTCGGGCAAAGCATTGAGAATGGGCACCTATTTTTGAACAATCAAAACATGTTGACTTTCATTACCATCAACACATTTTTGAAGTTTTTAAGTCAAGTAATATCTTACCACTACAGTTTCTTGTAATTATTTATTTAAAATTTCAACTTGTTAAAAATCATAATTTGTGTAAAATACGGTATATCCCTTCAGCTGATGATTTTTTTTTCTTTTGGAGATTATAGAGCGGTTCTGTCGTTTACAGGATTTCTCAAATTTACTTCAGGCACTAAAAGTTAAAACTTCCATATTTAATATATTAAAGCTATAAGAAAGAACTTACTTGTCATAATCAAGAATTGTATTTATTCTATGAGCAATTGTAATCACAGTTTTATTGGCAAAGACAGTCCTTATTGTATTTTGTATAAGATTGTCAGTTTCAATATCTACTGATGCAGTAGCTTCATCCATTACTAATATCTTTGAATTCTTCAATAAAGCTCTTGCCAGACAAACCAGTTGCCTTTGACCAGCACTATAAAAAACACAATATTGCATATAAATAAATGATTAATTCAATGGTGAAATTACATTTTAATGTTATATATAAAAATAACAGTGCATAAATGGTCAAGGAATAGCTAAAGGTTGGCCAGACAATTGCAGTATACCCAACTTTTAGCTCAGTGACTAAATGAAAATAAGATATCTTTAGTGGATTTATTATAACTCAGAAGATAAAACATTCATAATTTTAAACCCAAAACACTAAATACAGTGAACTCAGTCATTAAATATGAAGTCCAATAGAACATAAAAATTTAATCATCCAAAATTAAAATTAATGAAAATAGGCATTATTAAAAACATTTAAAAAATGCATCAAAGTATTTAAAAGAAAAAAAACACAAAATAAAGTATATTTCAATTTAATAGTAGATTCAATGCCAATTGCCAATATAGAAGAATTTACCATATGACAAATTTAATGTTAATTCAGCTTTGAAACTATGAAATTATAATTTTTTTCTTAGTTTAAAAAAAAAAACTGGTCATATTTCACACTTTCTAAGCTTGTATATTCTTTTCCAAGAATAAACAATTTATAAGTTTTAAATTTTTCATTACAGTCTTGCTCTTTAGTTTGACCCTCATTGCTGTGGCTCTTCCATTATAATGACCAATTAAACCAAGTTTTTCCTGTTTGAATATGTTATAATTTGCTTGTGAAGCATTGTAATAGGTGCGATATTTTGGAGTTAAAACACAGGGTATTCACCTTCTTTTTGGTATGATTTTTCTTACATTTTGCAATTCTCTCAACGTATATTATTTAGTAAAAAAGACTGCTGGTAACCAGTGCATGTGATGTGATTTGAAAAAAAAATAAAACTTTAGAAGTGAATAAAAGAATAATTTCTACATCACAATTGAAAAAATATTCAGAATTGCTAAAATATTAAATATTCATTCTCAGTGCAAGTTCTAAGGCTGAGGACAAGCTCGCAACTAGCAGCTTTTTCGTCCCTCAATGAAATAAATATACCACAAAAAACAAATTGAAAGAAATGTTAAATTCCACAAGAACAAATTGTTAAGATAAGGCGTTTGGTATTCTAATTCCTCATAAATCTATCACTCCTTATCTCCCCCTCTGCTGATCAGACGAGTAGTCTCTCGTCGTTCAGGCCCCCGTTCTCTAGCGTCCACTATGCAAAAGGGATTTGTAGCTTACAAATTATCAATTTCTTTTTGTGGGATATATATTTCATTGAGGGACAAAAAGCTGCTAGTTGCGAGCTTGTCCTTAGCCTGAGAAGATTAATTAAGTTCTAATTATTCAATATTTTGAATAATTATTATTCAAGTTACTAAATCAATGCAATACTACCTAGGATTCTTAAAAATAACCAATTGCTCTAGATTTATTTATAAATTCTGGATTTTGCTTATTAAATACACACACACACTAAAGAGAATTAGAGCTGTGGTGGCTCAGAAGATACAGCATTTGCTCCCCAATGAAGTGACGCAGGTTTGAATATCAGGGACAGTTTGTCAATAAGAACTTTGCTCGTGGCTTTCACCGACTACGGTGCTGACATAAAATACCCTCATTGGTAAACGATCGTGGGTTGGAATCCCCTTGTTGTAGAGCTAACCGTGGGAGGTTTTTGTTGTTTTCCTCTACATGTAACGCAAATGCGAGTTATTTCAATTAAAAAAGTCCTCCACGAAAGCTAGTTCGTCCCAATGCTTGGTCTAGGAGTTCATTTTTTTGGTTGGGTTCAAAATTACAAGAACATGAAACCTAAACTCAGAATTGGGTTGATAGTTCAACGTAAGTTACAAAATAAAATATATAACAAAAAAAAATCTCATTTTCAGAAAAAATTTTTAAAAAATATTTTGCAAGGATAGTATTTTGAGAATTAGTTGTATATACTAATATTAAAATAATCATGACAAAATATAATAGTGATTTATAATTAAATGATAACTAACCTGAGGTTTGTCCCTCCTTCATCAAGCTCATACTCCAGACCTTCATCAAGGCCTGACACGAAAGATTTCAAATGTGCTCTTTCTAAACTCTCCCACAGTACATCATCATTATATTCATTATGGGGATCCAAATTGAATCTTAAAGTTCCTTGAAATAGAACTGGATCCTAAAAATCACACAATGTTGCTAAAAATTAAGACTATCTCAATAATACTAATATTGCAAGAAAAACTCATTAAAGTTTAAAACTTGCCTGAGGAATAATTGTCAATTTAGATCTCAGAGTGAGTAATCCAATTTTAGTAATATCGACATTATCAATGGATATTGCTCCTGATACAGGCTCAATTATTCGAAACAAGGCTAAAGACACTGATGACTTTCCAGCACCAGTTCGTCCAATGATGCCAACCTAAACAAAATTTTACAAATTTTCTTAGATTTTTCAGTATAATAACAATTATTATTTTTCATACTACAATTAATATATAAATAATATGTGTGTTTGATGACTATCAATTTCAATTTTTCTTATCTATTTTCTTTTCCAAAGAAAATTAAGAAAATTTTGTCACTTTAGTCCATGAAAATTAAGTGAAAAGAACAGTAACAATATGATTTCACAATTCTTTACGTGGCTTGAGCAGGTCATTTTATTAGATTTAAGAAAAATTTATGAAACAAAATAAATTTAATAAACACAATATTTTAAATTTTTGTAAAATACCTAATAAAAGTTGAAAATGATGCTTTATTTTATAATTTCATTTCAATACATGGATTAAATGTTACATATTTATCATTTTTGCTTTTCTTTTAGTAATAGAAGTAAAAAAAGTTATTTAAGTAACCGTAGACGAAAAATAACAGAGATAAATATTCATAGCATGATTAAGTATGCCGTTTTCAGACATAAACACTTAACCAAAAATCTAAAAACAGGAAGAGCGCCATTACGCTAGACTATTAAATCCATTTACACTTTACAGAATAAGTTGCTGATTTGGGAGACCACTAATAATTAGTTCATTGTGGTCTAAGTCAACTTTCAGTAGTTTCAGAAAAATGGGCAACCGTCAACTTGAAGCCTCGCAAATTATCATTACAATGATAACATAGGATAGGAATTATTTTGTATACATTCTAAACTTTTTAATTGGTATTATATCAGAATTTTTTTTACATAAATATATAAGAGTCTGCATTTAGCAAACTAAAATTACTGTAACTGCATTGGGTTAATCATAGTACATCAACATAGTATGTGTCACACATATGATTTACAAACATTCAGTTTAAAAATTATAAAAATAAAATTTATTAACAAACCTTTTCACCCCCAGACACAGAAATATTAATATCTCGTAAGACAAGATCCAAATCTTCTCTATATTTAGTACAATAATTATCGAAATTCACATTTCCAAAATCAGGCCAGTTGTTACAACTATGGTCATTAGGCGATTCCCATGGTGCCTAGAGCAAAAAATACCACAAAATTGAGATAGTATTGCAATAATGCATATTAAAATTTGATTTTAACATGTAGTGTATACAAAAAATTATGTTATATTTATAACTGATGAGTAATGTTATGAGTCAAGTAAGATTATTTTTTCCTTTTTTGTTACTAACTAAAATCCTATAATTTTTTTGTGCAATTTATATATTTTATTTTTAAATAACTGCGGAAAGAGCATAAAAAGGATAATCGATTTTCTCTTTTCTGATACAAGTGAATTAATTACTACTTATATAATTTAAAGTTAAATACAATAGGCTTTCAATTATTTGGTTCACTGTATTACATGATCAAGTAAAAATTGAGGAATGTTGGAGCCAACCATTTGTAAGTTGTGAAGTAAAACGATTGCTTAAACATTAAACCCAAATTTTGTAAAATGTGGGTGCATAATTTGTTTTAATAAATGATTCTGTAAAGTATTTTTAAATTTATGTTTCAACTTTTATTTCTCAACTTTTGCTTTGAATAAAATCAAATATATAAGAAAATTTTCAGGTTATAATTCAAAGCAATTTTCCTTTATTTGTTAAACACTCATTTAAAAACTTGTTATAACATATTTTTAATTGAAAAAAATTTTAATATAAAACATAACTATACTTTCACTTTAGAGAACAGCCACAGAAAGAAATGTTGTTCTAAAAACATTCTCTGGAAATTATTTTCGTTGTTTAATATTTACTGGTTAATAGTAATTTCTAATAAATAATAGTAGAAGAACTAATAAAGAATTACTTGTATAAATAATATAACTATAATTATTTGTATAATTTGTAAAACTAATAAAGAATACTAAAATACAATACCTCTGGTTTTAATTTACAGTATTCATCAACTCGTTCAATCGACACAGACTTATTTTCTAACTCTGTATTCAGTCTGACAAGCCACTTCAGAGAATCTGTTATCTAAATGGAAACCAAATTAGCAATGCGATGAGTGCTTATAAAATTTTAAACAATTCATAGAAGAATATTGAAAAGCACACCTAAATAAGAAACTAAAACATTCTATTAATGTCTAAATTGAAATATATAAATAAAAACCAATTTTCATAATTGCAGTAAATACATGACTGTGAACAAAGAAAAAAATTAAATCATCATGAAAAAATTTACTTTTTTGAAATTCCACTTATTTTATTTTAGAGTGGTAAAAATATTTCAGTAGCATAAGCTGGATAGCTTTTGGTTTTTAAACTTGACAAATTAACTAAAGCCAATTAATTATAACAATTTACTAATTAAGGCAAAAAGCTTTAGAGCAATTTAATCCTTACAAACAAGATACTAGGGCATGTTTTCATATAAACTCTGATTCCTTAACAACATTAGCTCCTCACCACCTCTCCATAGCATGTGAAAATGCATTTTACCCCGATTTGCTCCTCTTAACCACTGTGGTTTTTCTTGTTTTTTTTCCATCTTTTTTTTCTCTCTTGGCTGCTGTAGTTTTTATAGTTTTGTTTCTACCCTATATTCTTCTATTCTTTGTTGGCATGTATAGGTTTCATATTTCGAATCGCTTCATTTCTTCTCATTTGCATCCGACAAGTCTTGAAAATGGACATCTATTTCTGAACGCTTTAAACATGTTGACTGTTATTTGCAATTTTTGACGCAAATGAAGTTTTTAATCAAGTAATAGACTCAGGATTGTTAATGGAATTTGAGCGAAGAATCTAGAGCAACAAGATTCTAAAATCCCAGAAATTTGATTATACCACATGATGTGGCATCATAAAAATCCAAATTGTCAGCACCTGACCTCAATATTTATCAATCTATGGCATTAAAGTTTTGTTCAATCAGTATTTATACACTTCAAACAGTGTTTGATAGGAACTTTTGACAGCATCGTTATTTTTCTAAATCCTTAAAAATATAACAAAAATCCGAAAATGATTAAAAAAAATTTTAAAAAACTATAGATCTCATTAAAAATACTCAGACCTATAAAATTATTATCATATCTGATCTGGTCATGTGAAATATGAGTGTTAAAAGTCGTGTTAAACGTCATCTTCAAACAATGCAAAAGAAAGAGACAAAATAAAGTAACTTAAATTTCAGGAAAATACTTATCTCTACTAGTAATAAAATAAGATGTCAGTGTATGTGTGCATGCATATCCTGGAATTGTATAAAATGATGGCACTTACAGATATATAACTTAATATGAAGGCAGATATGGATCTGTCCCAGTGTGCCTCCAAGACCCGATCACCAAACTTTTTGTGATTTTGATTAATATATTTTAGTTTCAAAAACTTATTTAATTCTTATAATTTTCTAAATTCAAATTTCTTTCTCTTTATGGTCTGGAAAAATTATCTTTTTAATTTATTTGTTTATTCATATTCATATCTTCGACATAAGATGATTAATATATAAATTCAGAACAAGATATTGATCAAGGTTGAAATCAAGATCTATAATTTATTAGGCAAAAACAGCAAGTGCATGCAAGATTTTAATCCTTCTGATTTGCACTTCAATTACATTAGACAATATTTTTTTAAATCCACTAGGGGCTGTGAAATGGCAAATCTGCCAAAATTTAACAATTTAAAATTAATTTGCCAACTTTTTAAAATCCACAATAACTATAAAGAGGAAAATCAGCAAAGGTAGCTTTAGCAATAAATTATAAGATGCTGTCTAATTCTTTGTGAGATTTTTACACAAACATTAGATTATAATTACTTACTAATCAAATTCCTCAACTTTGTTGAAAAGTAAGAATTATCATTACTTTGACATCAAATTCAAACTAAAATTAACAATGATTATTGAAAAACCTTAAAATATCACTTACTAAAAGAGAATATGAAATCATTAAAGCAACTTCTGAAGGAGTTAAGGAATGTCTATTGTAAATTGCAATTAATGCAGATCCAAGCACTATCAAACTGCCCATGGTATCTAAAAAGAACGTTAGCCACCTAAAAAATAAAGGAATGTCTATTGTAAATTGCAATTAATACAGAGATTTATTCTTAAAAAAATAATTACTAAATATTAAAACTGAAATTACGAGAGCAATTCCTTGTGATAACATTAAATTTTATTATAAGCAACGTTTAAAATCACAACTGGTAAAATTTTAATTAAAACCCATTTCTTTGTAACCATAGTACGTCTTCACATGTTGAAAAAAGGTAGGGATAGTAAAATAGATGATTATATATATAGGAATGATGATTTAATATATTATGAATGAGAACTGTCATAGCCTTTTCATATTAAATCATCGCAGTTTTACTATTCCAGCCATTTAGCTTTCTGATGAAGATGTAGGCACCACTGTGACGCCAAAACATGCCTAGGTTTTAATAAAAATTTCACTATTTTTAATTTTAAACGTTTTTCAATGAAATTTACAACAAAATAATTTAATCTTACAAAAAAATCCTACTATAAATAACAATGATAAATCATTAGATAAATAATCCAATAATAAATCCATTAGATAAAATATATGATTTGCTTTATTATTTATTTTAGCTGGCTTTTATAAATTTTACTTATTTTTCTTTTTTCTTAAATGTTTAAGAAAATATTAATAGCACTTAAAATTACTTTTGATGATCTTCCGGCGAGAAGCTAACTTATATCTTTAATACTATTATTAACACTTACCATCTTTCAATGATTAAAAATAAAAATCTAATACAGTTAAACTAAACCAATGCTTAAAATTTAAACTATTTTCTTTTTAATCAAAAACACAATTAGGTATCTAATATTTATTATCTTATATTTGTGAAAGAGTTGATACTTAGATACTGTTAATTTATATAAAAAAATCTACATAAAAGAGTTCTCTTATTCATGATGGTAAAATCAATTTACTATACTAAGGAAAAATTGGCATTAAAAATCATCTTTGTTTGCAAAAAATTTTATATTAATTTAAGGTAATAACCTATTACAGATAATCCTATTGAAGCCACACAGATTATGGTTGTCAACTTTTTCTTCAAAAGTCGAAATGAAGTCTTCTTGTACTCTAAAAGCATCAATGGAGGTGATTCCACCAATGGATTCGAGAAGTTGGCTATAAACTGGTGATTTGGAAGTAGAATACAACCTGCTCAATTGACGGTAAGTATTCAAATGCCACTGCTGAAATGGGAAAAAAATCAGTTTTAATCATTATAATTAAAAATGATCACTTTTTAATTACAAAAGCCAAGAAAAAATCATCATTTTCAAGAGGGAATCATAGCATTGACAACTATTTTGTGTTCTGTTCTTTCCATGCTATTAAGACATAGATACTTATGGCTGGGTGTTAGCACAAAAATCAAAGATCCTTCAAAATTTTACAAAATAAGTTTCTTTTTTAGACTTTGACAGTACAAATCTACTATCGCTAACACTGAGCCACAAAGATACATATTTAAGTGAATAATATTAATAAGAAATAAGTAATGCAAGAAAGTTGTCAATAATGTATGTATTTTTAGAGTACAGTACAGAGTTAATTGACTTTAAAATTGCAAAAACTGAAATTTCAGGCATGAAAATCAGGTATGGAATTATCTAGAAAAAAAGCCTTAAGTAAAGCAGATTCAAAATCAATTAACGGATTCATGGTAACTTATTCAACTTCAGCATTTATGCATCCTAAAAATTTGAGGCCCAAGGTATCGATTCTTTGCCCTCTTACTCAAATTGAGCTATATTCGCAATCTTGAACTCACAGAGGGCTAAAGGTCAAGAATGAGATATAGCATTGCTTGCAATATAATTTTTATGCTGAATTGAATAAAACATAAATCAAGCCAATAATACTCAAAGAAATTATGACATTTATACGTGTGAGAAATACATTTTTCTTACTTCTACCTTATTATGCACAAAACACATATAACTTTGAAGCAATAAGAGCAATTTGCTATGTTTAACTTTACTGGATAAAAGCTAAAAAAATACATAATAAGTATTGCCTCACTTGTCTTGACAAAAATGTCTAAGATAAGTAATAAGTCAATGTAGTAATTTTTTGTTCATTAATCATTAATCATTTTTAATTAATAATTTTGTGGACTTTATTTTGGTCTCATTCAATTTAGCAGAAAAATAAAACATAGAATCTAATGTTTTGCTTGTCTGTAGCAATGTCACAAAAGTTGATAGTCAAAAGCACAAAATCATACTTTGTATACATAAAAGCTTTTACAACTTTCAAATTATTCCTCCTATCAACTTGGATTGGATTTGATTCATTTTCACCATAAAAAAAAACATCGGAAACAAAAATTTTCTTGTCTAAACAGCAATACATAAGTTCTACACTCATTTGACTTCTACCGCCTCAAGAAAAATTTGAGATGGCAACTAAGTTCCTTGTTACATGGTAGAGCAAACTTCAGATATCTATATTCGAAACAACATGCTGAAAGCATTCCACAGCTCCAGTTATGCGCATTAGAAAAATATTGTAATCATATAATTTACAAAATTAAGTCTTCATAAAAAAGAATTTAAATAAGTGTATTTAATACTTATCTCAATTGTGAATATTTTCAGAGCAATTCAAAATTTTGATGCATACAATTTTACCTTTAGGTAGAGAAGAGTGGCAAATCAAAATAAAATTTGATATTTTTCTTTGTCTACATAAGAGCATAGCCTATTATGGAAGATTTTATTTTTGCATTTAATGTAGTATCAAACTTAAGACTTTCATATTTGATTCGTGGTTTAACAAATTTAATTTGAATTTTTTTTTCCACTACCACGTAAAATTAAATTAATTCTATATAAAAGGTGTAATATATTCATTCTATAATGTTTTTAACTAATACTGAAATGCTTTAACTTTCTATTCACAATTGTTTATTTAATTCTCATTTCATTACCAGCAGAACATGAGGTCTTAGGATAAGACAAGAGTTGGCATCGATGTAAAGGCCATCTTATGACCAAATTTAATTAAAATTAAGGTAGTTAAGTTTGTTTATACTTGAATTGGTTTAAAATGAAATCAGGGTTTTAAGCACTCAAAAAATATTTTTAAGCACTTTAAAAAAATATCATAATTAGGCAGGGTTCGAAAGTTTTTGACAATTTACGGTTTTATTTTGTTTTAACCGTCATGCCAAAAAAATAATAAAAACCTTTTGGCATTGTTTTTGACAATTGTCAAAAATCATCAAATTTTGAATCATGCAAAGCGAATGGCGTTTTCATACGCCATTCGCCATTCATAGATTGGGGTTGAATTAATAGTGAAAACGTCGAATTGCACAATGTGAACTGTGACTTTTTGCATAATTCAAAACGAAAATCAACATGGTAAAGGAAAATTCTCATTTTGAAAATGGGAAAATTAATCACTTTTTAAAAACACACAATGAAAAAAGCACCTTTAAGAGCTTTTAACAATCGAAAATCGAAAATAAGCACTTTTTAAAAACGCTACGCACCCTGGAAATTTTTCTAGAACAAAAACTGATGTATTTGCCTTTCAAATTCCTCCCTGCATTAAAGAATATATTTAAATTAATTCCTTATTTCTTTAACTGCTTCAAAATAATAGTTAGTAGAGGTAAAGAAAAATTAAGCAATATAAGAAATTAATAAATTGTTATTAGTAATAATGACTGCTGAATAAGATATTGATAAATTAACTAACCTGAAGAGTAAAGTAAATTATTCCAAGGGGCAAAATTCCAGCCAAAAATATGGGTTCATTTTTTCCAATAATATAAAATGCTGCCAAAGTACCAAAGAAACAATATACCCAACCATCAATATTGTAAAATAGCTGGGTATCCAAAATATCCAAGTCCGAACTGAACCTAGAATATATTATAAACTGTTATAATAATCGTTTAAGTTAGAGACAAATAGGTTAGTAAAGTCTTTTTTTGTGTGTCATTCAAGAGTATAATAATTCTAACATAATAACTGGGCACATCTTCAATGGTGGGGATAATAAGGTTAACAGATAATTTTAAATTCTACTGAAATTTATGTTACATGCATTAAACATGCACTTACGTCACATGCACTTCAATGTGCAAAATACTTTTTTTTTAAATGAAAAACACTTAATAACTTTTTGATTTTAGAACACAAGAATATCATAAACATCAAATTTATGGGAAAAACTATCAGTGCGTATGTTACATAATTCAAACAATCCTATATTTCACAAGTAAGAAAATAACACTTGGTAGCAGAAATATTTTATAAAAACATAAGAAAATACTTAAATACTTGAAAAATTATTTAAAACACTTACTTTATTGTCTGTTTAAATAAAACTATTTTTCTTACATTACTTTTTTCAGTAACAACAAAACCCTATTTACTTTTTTTTTAAATCTTTCCCACAGAAAAATATAACTTAACTGTAGCTGCCATTTGTAAAAGATATTCTAAAGTAATCATTCTATCTAAAATTTATACTTTTATTTGTAAACATCAAGACAATAGGTCTGTTTGTATTCCTGACTCAAAATTTAAACTAGCTGCTTAGGTTAAAGTTTGTAATACGATGAAAAAGTTTAATCAGTTCTGTTATTCTGGAATGAAGCTGAACTCGATCTTAACTTTGGATACTCTAGAAACACTAGTACTGGTAATTTGCATCAAAACTTTTGATACAGTTATTGTTTGCAAATTCGTAAATTGCTAAAATATTACCTGATTTCAAAAGAACAAATTAAACTCATCTATTTTAAAGAATTGGTAATCATTGCACATTTTTTATTATATTTTCTGATAAAAAAAACAGCAAAAAAACAATGTGAAAGAATAGCGATGGCTCTGATGTTAAAACCTCCCCCCCCCCCTCTTTAAATGTAGATTCAAACATCATGTTATTACAGTATTTATTACTTCAAATAGATTTTGAAAAAAGTTTTAAAGCAGCTTTGATAAAATATAAAGAAAATTTTATTTAGTACTATATTAAATATAAACCAAAAATAAGTTTTTAAATCTAGTTAATTTTATCAGAAAAAAATTATTATAAAATTAATTAAACACAAAAAAGTAATGAATTTGATTAAGTTATACAAAAGAGTAACATGCTATAAAATTTAATAAAAACTATTCTAAATAAGCTTGGTAATTTTATTTTATATTCACTAGTTCTCTTTGCTATGTCTATTTTACAATTGGTCTTCTTTTTTCTTTTTCTTCTGGGTTTTCAGTTTCTTCCACATTTCTGAGAAATATAAATTTTTCCCAACCTCACATGCAATGATTTGGGTACAGTTGTGCAAAAGTATAGATGTAATTTTTACATTGAAAACTGTGAAGGTAAACTTTGCCTTATCTTCAGCAATATAACTTAGATTCTATTACTTATTTCCACAATTTCGATAATAAACTTTAAAAAAACCGCAAATGAAATTGCTATCGAATTGTCAATTTATATTTAGAACAAAGTAGAAGATAAAACAAAATCTGAAACTTGAAATAGTAACTAGCATTACAAATAACATTGAAAGATTAAGCGTTTATGAGTACTTGAAGCCATAATTTTGTCTCTCTGAAGAAAAAAGATCTTGAGAAAAGCAAACCTTACTAAGTAACCTTGCCTTGACAAGGGTGAAATATTTTTATTATTAAGCAGATTGTGTTTTGGACTAACAATACTAAGAAAAACACCAGTAAGTGAACATCAATGGAAGAAAAAGTTGAAATTGTAATTCAACATTTTGTTCCCAACCTTTGTGAAAAATAGATGATTCTGTTGATATCTCTTTTCTCCCTGATTATTTAAATGTTTAAACATTGATTCATTGTCCAAAACATGGCACCGAAGATTTTACCTTAGATAACTAACATATATTTTTCTATAGAAGATTTTATATTAGATAACTAACATATAATTAACATTAGAAGATTCAGAAGAAATAACAATTCAAAACATGTGTAGCAACTAGTAAACTTTATATTAACTCGAAAGTTATTATCAAGGCTTTGAATTATTCTAATTTTGAAAAAAAGTTAACACAAATATAACTATAAAAAAATTGCAATAATAAAAAAGAATGACAAAATGCATTATATTTACTGTAGAACTTCATATAAAACAATAAAACATAACATCAACATATTACTTTTGTAAAATCTCTAATTACTAATTAAAATGTGATAAAAATAAATAGTGAGAATAAACCAAAATATGAAGAAAAATCATCTGAAAATGTAAATAGCAGCATGTTTAGAAATAGCAGGCAGCAAACTATTTCAGAGAGCTTGTTAAGTCATTCTACCAATTGAACCCATAAGTTGACATTTGAGACCTTTGGGGCCTAAGAAATACAAACGGTCCTAATGTTTAAAAAAAAAAAAAAAAAAAAAAAAAAAAAAANAAAAAAAAAAAAACATTGGTATCATGAATATCTGTGTAAAATTTGACTGGTTGGGAAAAAATATTTTTAAAGGTATTTATCAAAAAAAAATTTGTGGTAATTTCTGTTTATTTCTGTCACTAGTCTGAATCATTAATTTACTTAAAAGTTTTTATTCTGAATTAAATTTAAACTTAATTACTGTCAGAGCTTAAAGTTTAGATATGTGGTCTCCTTATTTGAGAACCAGAGCTATAAAAAAATTTAAATAGTTATTTACCAATAAACATAAATGCAAGGATATTTTTTTTAAGAACACCTGAAATCGCATTACACAAAATATTATTTTATTTATATTTGCTAAATAAACGAATATAAATATTCAAATCAAACAACCTGTTAGTGATTCGTCCCATAGGAGTACTATCAAAGAATGACATAGGAGACCGTAAAACACTATCCAACATTTTTTTATGATATATTCTTGAAGCAACTACTGTTCCTTTTCCCAAAGCAAAAATACCAATAAATGCAGATAAAGCTAAAATATAAAATTCTTAATTATTTTTTGTACATTACAGTTCAAGCAATGATAAAAATGAAAGATAGAACAAAAAATCATGTTATTTTGAAGTTTAGCACAATTGTTAAAAAATAACATTCTAGAAGTTCTAAATAACAGTTCTTTTTTCAGATTTTTATATAAGTACCACAAAAAGTACAAGTTACTGCAAAAGTTGTTTAGTGTAAAAAATAAAAACAAAAAAAAGCAAAAAGCTTATTTGGAAATAAGTTTGATTGAAGCAAAACTCTTTTTCATAAATGTCTCTTTTCCCTTTTGGAATTTATTCTCTCAAATAAATATTGAAGAGAAACAGTCATAAAATTTATTAACGTTGGAATAAAGTATAACACATATTACATTATATCTAATTTTGAAAACACGATTGAACTATGTAATTTAAATGCAAGTATTTTATTTTATTTTACAACCGTCATTGAACAGCCGACCCAATTTTGGGTTTACGACTACTAATGTTCAACACCGTAGCAGCCTTGTCATTTTGAAACCAATCCACATGACATGGAAATTTCTGAATCAGTACCTCCAGAGGTATGATTTGTTATGGGAACATGGAGGACTTCGTGACTCGACAGATTCAATGTACATCAGTCACTATTTATTACATGGGGAGCCTTTGGTTGGCGAGGATTGAATCCACGACCTCTTGAACATGGACCCAGTTCCCTCTAAATGCAAGTATATATCTTTAATAATAAATTAATAACAAATAGTTTAATATTACTTCTCTCTTTGAAGAACAGGATTTGATAGAAAGTAATGTTCAATAACACAAGAACTGTTATTATTTAACTGCTTCAAACTTAAAGATGTTATAAATCATGTCTGATGAGAAAGAAAAATTGATAGAGTATCTCATGATCATAGGTACCATGTTTACCAAAAGAATATCAACCTCTGAGACTTGAGGAATGTTTGGAAGAGATATGCAATGTCAAATTTAAAATGCCTATGCAATTAATACTTTTATTAAAATTTAAAGAATATTGTGGTCGTTATATCCTGATTTTAAGTGCGTGTGTTTTCAAATTTGTGATATTGAGGTTTAACAATATTTAGTTAAAAAGAAATATAGGTTTGTGTAGCAACTTTCAAAACTTAACAACTATAGCACATACCTTTTTGTATTTTTTAAAATGAAAAATTTTCTGCAAACGTGAAATCTCAATAAAAAACTTTCTGATTAATACTCGTAACTAGTTCCAACCCTTCCCTCACCATCTCATTTTGGCAAAATTTGCTTGAAAACAGAGTTTGTTTCTTTTAAATATTTAATTTTATAGAACTCTACATTGATTCATGGGTGGATGAGTTTGGTTAAACAGCAAAAAAGCCTAAAATAGAAATCCAAAAATGTTATGTGCAAGAAAATTTTTAAAGTAATTGAAAAAATACCTGAAATTTGAGCAAGAAAAAAAAATGTATGTAGAAAGCATTTATCTGCAGAATGTCATAAACATTTTAATAAACTATCGATGCAAGATTTTATTTGTTTAAATTGTGTGAATATGGATCTCAATGTATGATTTTTAAATCACTCAAATACAAATCTAAACATTTAACTTTAAAGTCGTGTGAATACAAATCTCGGTGCTTCACTTTAAAATCATGTGAATACGAATTCTGAAGTATAATTTTAAGTCACTTGAACATTAATCATAAGGTATATGCTATAGCTGTGAAGTGGCTTTTAAATTGCATGAATACATAACTCGATATTTGATATAAAATCAAACAAAAAATATAAAACACCATGCATGATCATAAATCATGTAAACAGGAATCACGATGTGTGATTTTAAATCCTGTGAATGTAATTTTAAATCGCAGTGGTAGGAAAAGGCTGAAAAATTCATTTTTTTCCACATTAATTCGAAGAAGAAGAAAAGCTCAAAGGTAACGAGATGGCGGACTCACTGGCTAAAGATGCTTCTTTGGAACCTCTACAGCCAGATCTACCTTCCACTTTCAACGAGGTCTTTTCAGAGTGCAAAAAAATGTTTATGGACCTCTGGAGGGTTCCTCCTCCGCATAGTTGGTATTTCAGAAAACGACCTGGAAGTGCCTTGCTTTTTGAGGGACCTAGAAGCCAGCAGACTTGTTTATCTCGCTTTGCAAGTGGACACTTGAGGTGTCTCTCGTATGTTCAGGGGCAAAAGACTTTTGGACTTTGCACTAAATGTAGGACTGCTCAGGCTTCGCCCGAGCATATTCTAAACTGTATCGATTTTAAGATACAGTTTAGAATATGCTCGTTTTCTGCTCCTCATCTGTTTTTAGACTTCCTGGACATTTTTGGACTTATGGAATTGGTCTAATTGGGATGGACCTCTTGGGGATTAGAAACAACAACAGAAGAAAAGCTTTCTTTGAAGAATCGAATTTCTTTTCTTTTTTAGTAATGGTAAAATATTTTACGCAACAGTAACAAATTTTCCACGAAGAGCGCTCACATGTTTGTATATTATACAGGTTTGCCTATTACTTTAAGAGCAACTCAGACTGTTGCTATACTTCAAGTATTCAAAATGACTCTAATCTAATACACCTCCTTAAAAAAGTTGAATACATAAATTGTAGTTATCCCTCAAATGAAAAATTTTTCTTCCCTGGTAAGTTAGGTTATCACACATGCGATTGATTTTAGAGTTTTAAGTTATTAGAAATAACTGAAATAAGAATTATTTGATTTAAAACAAAAAAACATTAAAATATTTTTATTTTATTTGTAAAGCATTACCTTCTGCAATTCCTAAAGATCCATATATTTCCAAATAATAAATTGTGTCAGTAGAATTCTGTATCACATTGCTGAGACTGACAGCACTCCATTTACTAAGCCATATATTCCCAGCAGTCTTAAAAAAATTTAAACACTCATTAAATATGTAATTATATATATATTCGAAGTGATTATTCAAACATAATACATTAACAAAATTTCAAGAAGAAAATATTTTTCTTTTTAAAAGATAAATTGAATGTGCTAAAAAAATTTCAAACACAAGAGTTATATATTAACCGATTCATTGATGATTCCCCTTCTTAAAAAAATTAACTAAAAATGTTCCCTCCTACTAACATTTTTAAGCACCCAAACTATTTGCACACCAGATCTGTTCGAAACACTTTGGTCGGGTTTACAGGTAGAGAAAGTTCTAGTTTGGGTGCTTTTGCAGTAAGTTATGTGACAGGACATGGTCTATTCACAACGGCGAACTCTATAATCATGTTTTCTACAAGAAATATAAACATGCCGTTCTGTAATGGTTGTGACAGCCTTGAATATAAAGTTATAAAATCCTAGAAACACTTTGAGATGCATTTTAAAGAGAACAAATTAATATTTAAGTGGCATAAAGAAAAATTTCCAACTCTGACCGAACACTACATGTTGAGGTTGAAGAATAATTTAAAAACTAGTTTATTTTAAAATTAAATTTAAAATAAAGGTGATTTCTTGTAAAAGGTGAACTTATCTCAGTTCTATTGGACTAATAAACTGATTTAAGGGAATTGATTTTTCCCTTGTTTTTTCAAATTACTAGTCAAAATTTGGATTGTTTTTTCCTCACTTTTAATGAGGATTCTAAAAATACATATAAAGAGTTGTCATAATGGAACATCCTGCAAAATTAACTTTTCTATTTTGCTTAAATTAAAAACTGTTGCCACAGAATAATTTGCTACTCAAAATGTGTCCTGATTTGTGTTCATCGACTTCTAAGCAACCCAAAATGTGTCTTTCAATTCTACTATGAAATGTTACTTAATAAAAATTAAAAATAAACAAAATTTTCTCAGAATAAGTTTTTACTTTATGGAATAATACTTTTGACCTGCAATCTGGAAACTACTGTGTCATTAGCTTAGTCAAAAGTTTATGCCTCATAATGTTAATTTTACTATTTGTGTATTTTGCCATATTTATGGAACAAATAATACAAAACATAAAGGCTTTGATACTGAGTTATGAAACTCATTTATCTAAAGATATTCCGAGCAAAAAAATAAATTATAGCATATATTCATCGCTTTTATTCATTGAATGATTGTATACACACGATAATTATTTCTCTTCTAGCATACATTTGCAATGAAAAAAAATTGTCCATGAAAATTTGAATTTTGTTTTGCAATATCATTTGTACTTATCGAAAATACATTCCTTGAACCATTAAAATCATTAAGTCTGTGAAAATGCAGTCTAGACCAAAAGTTATTCTTTTTTTTTTTTTTTTTTTTTTTTTTTTTTTTTTTTTTTTTTTTTTTTTTTNTTTTTTGCATATTGTACAATATTATTTATTAAGTTCTGGATGCCTTGTAAACTAAATTTAAACTAAATTTAAAATATTTTTCATAAAAATGATAAAGTATCTGATTTCCCAGAAATTCACAAAAGTTTATTTTTCCTTTTATTTTTTCATAACTTTAAAAAAATATTTAGTTTTTTTATTTCTGATAACTAGAAATGAAGCTACAGGTGTTTTAGTACAATCTGATCTTACAGCTTTCGCTTATAGGTTGTGTTTCAAAACCGAAACTAAAAATATTTCATCTTGTTCTCGCTATCGTTAAACAATTTTATTTCATTTTATAACCGTCATTGAACAGCCGACCTAATTTCGAGTTTACGACTACTATTCAACTCCGTAACTTTGTAATTCTTAACCGATCCAGAAGACAAGGAAACTCCTAGATCAGTATCCCCTGAGGTATGATTTATTACAGGAACATGGACGATTTTGTGACTCGACAGATTTAAAGCGGATCAGTCACCATTTACTACATGGGGAGTCTTAGGGCGGTGGGGATCCAATCCATGACCTCTTAGGCATGAGCCCAGTGCTCTTCCAACCAGGTTATCCCAGCCCCTGCTAAACTATTTGCTTAGTTTTTTCTTTTGTTTTCTTTATTTAAATTCTGTGGAGCCTTAACTAATATTCTATGAAAATATGAAATAATTAAACATGGCACGAACCCAAACCAGTAGGGAGTTTTGAAAATTTATGACCATTTAAAGGAAATGGTGTTTCTTGAAAAAATTTAAGGCAAAACAAGGATAAAATGCTCTATACTGGGTAAAAATGTTAGAAAATAATTTATTTTGGGTCATTTTGAAGATAAATATCATAATTATGCATACATCTTAAAGAAGTCAAATAACATTGATAAAAAAAATTTTAGAACATTCTCCGCTTGGATTATTTTGTGTCAAATTTAACCAATTTTTTACCTTTTTGCAATAATAAAAAAAAATTTCTTTATATTTTACAATTTATCTAGTTATTTAGTATTAACTAATAAATTTAAAAAAATTGTCAAAATCTAAAAATTCTTAAAAAAAAGTTGCAAAAGATACTCTGATACCTGTCTTAATTATAAAAATAGATATGAACAGCTTTAAAAAATTCGATAATAGCATAAAATGTACAAAAACATGAAGTGCAAAATAAAATAAAATATTACTTTAAATATGACTTGTAGAATATAACCAAGGAGACCAAAAAACGACAGAGAAAAGCCAAGTTTCTTTATGTAATTCCAGTAAATGTACCGATTCACCTAATAATGAAACTCACATTAAGAATAATTTTACATTGCAAATAAATTTTTGCACAAATAAAAAGCTTTAAGTCTTTGAAAAAAACATGAATGAGCAAATCATTTATTTATAAACACATTATTCTTAAATTCAATGTAACCGTTGCAGAAAATATTAAAAAAGTCAGGAATTAAAGTGTATACAGAACAAAACATAACACGCTTACTCCAAAAACTTTTTAGGAAATTACCCAATAAATCTAATTAAAGCAATAAAAAAACAATGGAAATAAAAATATGAAAATTTCTCTTCTGATTTGATTTTATGTATTTCTTGTATTTTTCCTGAACTTTTGCAAAACCTTCGGGGTACTGAGGCAGCAAGTTTTGACATTTGTCTGGTTCTTTCAATAGAAAAGGTTTTGTACAATGGCTTCCGGAGCTGGTACCCCCTGAAGACGTCGGCTTCGGTGGCCATATTTTTATTTCCATTGTTTTTTTATTGCTTTAATTATTCTTTCTTTTGAAAATTTCTGCTGCTTTGCACGTTTCTTTCAAAGAAAGTTCTATTGCTATAGAATAAAATATTTTGTATTCTTTTATTTACTTCCAATAAATCTAAGTAAGAAATAGCTTATTGCAATTTAATTTACCTATACTCTTCTTACATGAGTCAACTAAACTTAATCAGTATCCAAACAACAAATTTTAGTAGCAACAAATGTCTGGTTATTATTAATTAAGAACTTTTGGCTGCAAACTTATGTTTTACAATCAATTTTATAGCACTATCAATTTTTTACATTTTCACCTAAAATTTGTTGCTTGATAAGAGATAGATAGTTAGTTTTAATTATTTTTTTCCTTAATATATGTGTGTGCATTTATGATCCAATGAATAAATTTCCTTTAGTGAACCAGCTATTTTTTTGGTGAAAAAACTTGGACTTAAAAAACTATTTTATATTTTCATAACTAAAATAATTATGTATAATATATACATTTGCAGGTTAAAACATGTAAATTAAGTGGAATGAAAAAAAATTCTTTAAAAATATTCAAAAAAGACATCATAATTCCACAGAAATATATTTGATTAATTTGCATTAATACAAACTTTATTTGGTCATGGATAAACATCGTTAAGTTCATCCAGTTATGTTTAATTTTAATAGCATATTTCTTTTTTTAAAAAAAAGTCATATATTTAATACTTTTCAACCGCTTTGTTACTCTTAGCAAACAATTCCTATTGAGTATCAACAAAATATGATTGCAAAAAAGTTAACTTACAATTTAAGCAAGAAGCTTTAACATCCTTTTTTTATGAAACTAAAATGTGCTATGAGCATATTTTATCTCTAGATTAATATCTACTCTGACAAAAAGGCTTTTCTCAATAGTGTACTACAGTGAGAAATAGCAAGAGACTAAAATTACTTTAGCAACAACTCAATAACATAAATTCTAGTAGAGATTCTATAATGAATCAACTAAAAAGCATATTTTATTCAGTAAAAAAAAAGCACATTTTACAATACAGCAGAAAAATTTACTATTCAGATTAAATATAATTTTCATTCAAAATACATAAATTAACTGAATTTTTCATAAAAGATAGATTATTAAGATTATAAGATAAGATTATTAAGTATCTGGATTAAAAATTGAAATTTATTTTATCATGAATAATTAGATAAAATTAACAATGGAAACTTTTACTCACTCCTCCCAGTTCCATGTTTTCTTCATCGGTTAATCGAAATTCCACATTCTTTTCAACATCGCCATTAGTCAAAACATCACCAGCAGCACCATTTTCATGTGATGATTTGTTGTTCAAAAGCAACGGAGTCAAAGGACTGAAAGTAAAACAATTAGTCATCTTCAAAATATAGATCTTTTAAAAAATGCTCCACAAACAGTTTTTATGGAAAAAAATTTCCAGCATGTAATTAAGAAGGCCAAACTGTAGTGATGCTTTTCTGACAATTTTCTATAAAAGTTTCCTAAATAATATTAAAAAGCAAAAAAAGCAGTTAATTGACCAATCAAAACAAAAACTACTGCAAAAAATAAAGGGTTACCTTCAAATTACTTATATTAAATGTAGAGTTATTCGCAGTTTAAAAAATGTACTGAAAATAAAGAAATTTTGAAATGCTAGCTTCAAAAAAAAATTTTATTTTTTCCCTTTGCCATTTTTTACTGTAGCAGCTACAAATAAATGATAACTTAAAATTATGGTAGATTTTTTAAAGAAAATAGTTGGAGCTAATAGTTACTTCACACCAAAAATGGCTAAATTATGGCCAGGTGTTGTTAAAAGAAATTAACTTTTTAGAAATTTTCAAAACCTTTTGGTATTTTTGTTTTCAAAAAAATATATTGATATTAAAGGTAAACCTAGAGTTGTTATATCTCTCTATAAATAGTAACAAAAGCATTCAAAAAGGTTTCCTTTAAGGAAAAAAACTTTTTTTTGTTTTAAAAACATCATATAATACAGTTCTTCACAAAGCCATTCAGTATGTTGCATGTGATTGAGAAAATCTAGATATTTTTAATACAATATTATACTGAGACTTGTCAGTTTCGAATAGCAGATTTTAATAATTATTTTGATTGATACTTTTTTCAATACTTGCTTCGAAACCATTGTACACTAGGGTTTTTTTGGGGGGAGGGGGCAGTTGTTGCTACTTATCCCCACATAATTTTTTGAAAATCTTGATATTTTTAATACAATATTATTACAATAAGTGAAATTTGAACATGGGTGAAAAAACTGTTTACTGCTTTTTCAACTATATTCCTAATTTTTTGCAGTTAAAAAACTGCTTAAGATTTAGTATTTATAAACTCTATAATAATTTACTAAATATTATTTTGAGCTATAATGTGTTTGTTTTATTTTAAATTATTTTAGACAATCACAAAAATTCTTAAATTTTAACATTAAATTTGCATTTACATGGCTCAATACTATATTTTTTTATTTTTTTTATTTTTATTCTAGGAACATTAAATAAACTTTTGTATTATGTGATATAATAAAAAACTTTTTCCACATTTTTATATTTCTTTTGATATATCTGCTTTTTATTGATTTAAAGGAAATAATTTTTTTTTAAAGTATCAGTTTGTCATTCTTCTGGCTTTAATGAATATTAATATTTAAAAGCATTTAATTTTTTGCAAATATATTACTAAGTTGAAAAAATTTAGTGTTAAAAGAATTTAGAAAGGATTTAAAACAATGATGTCTAGATAAAAATTACCATAATTGCAGTCAACATATCTAAATACTTAGCCATACATCAGTCAACCTGCTATACAAGTGGCCCTTCACTTAAAAAGATTTCATGACCCTACCATAATATAAATAATCATAACATATATTGAAATTTTAGTTTTCAATCAAAAATAATAGGGCTACAATATTTTTAAAAAAAAAGTAGTAGCTCACACTACATATCCTCAAACTACTATGGAATTTCCATAGTTTTACAAAATAATTTTTCTACAAGTAACAAAGGAAATGTATTACAGGGTGCGTAGCCAAATATCACAACAAAAAATAGGCACCTTTTAAGTACTTTTCAAGCACTCAAAAAACATTTTTAAGCACTATATACATTAACAAAATGCAAAATAATTTTTAAAGACTTTACATGATCATGATAAAATAACTTGTTTCGGACAAGAAACTCTTTTCTTGATTATATTAGCCATTATAAAATGATCAAGAGATATTTTTGTTCGATATCAGAGGGTGGAAAATGAAGCCTGAAATTGAGAATATCTACTTGCAAAATGCAGCAGAGTTACACATGAGAGTGCAATAATCTTACCGAACCCAGCACAAAATACGTGGTGAAAATCGACATGGTAAAGTAAAAAAATCTCATTTTCGAAAACGCAAAATTAAGCACTTTTTAAAAACACCCAATGAAAAAAGCAGCTTTAAGGGCTTTTAAAGAGCAAAAATCGAGCATAAGCACCCTTAAGCACTTTTTAAAAACGCTAAGCACCATGTACTAATATTTTGATAAATTAGTGTTAAAAGAATTTTGTCCACCACTACAAATAAATAATTTAAACAAATATATAAAAGAACAGATAAACAAATTGTCATGCACATTAAATATTGATATAGGAACAATTCTATTTATTCTAAAAACTTCTGCTCAGTCTTACTACCACTAGAAAAAATATTTGGCAAAACCTTAAATGTTTGAGGGTGTGACAAGAAAATACCAAATCAGTTAAACTAAGCATAAATGCCCTGCTGCTTTTTCATCAAATTAATTTTGCATTGCTACAAAATATTAGTTATTTGCAACAGCAGTCCAAAATGGGTAAAATAAGGTTCTTTTTTTAGTCTATTATGATGAACAAGTCTGTTTCTGTTTTAAATACAGATTTAACAATGGGAACAACATATTCTAATAGACCGATTTATAAATTCCTGGTTATTACATAGTACCAAAAAAAGATAGTGTCTGTTATGATAAACTGACAAACAAGATATCTAATCAAAAACAGGCTTGTGTGACACAGTTCTCGTGTTCAACTATAATATGCAATTGAATATTTATTTAACACTAGCAAACATCTATAAAAATAAATCAACACCTTTCAATCTTTTCTAGATCTTGCCTTGAATGTTCTTGAATGAAAGAAGTAAAAGAGCCATTATGAGACAATAACTCTTGATAAGTTCCAATTTCATCAATCCGTCCATCTTTCATGCTGATTATGAGGTCCACTTTATTCAGTACAGACAATTCGTGAGTTACAAAAATTCTAGTCTAAAATAGAAATAAATACATTTTAAGATCTATCAAAAATAAAAAGAACTTATAAAATAGTTTGTTAACAAATATGTTTTTCCAAATGTTCAAACAAAAAAGTTAATATAATTCCTAAAGTCAATTAGATAATTCGATAATAGTCAGAGTTATTTAGAGGGGATCCAGCTAGCACAGTACAGGTTCTTATGACAGAAATATTTAAGACCGATTGAATATTTAAATCCAGAATATATTTTTGAAAATTTAATGCAGCATAGAAAAAACTGTATAATTTTAGATTTAAATATTAAAATTTAAAATTTTATCTTAAAAATAACAAATATATCTTAAACACACCGATTTTTAAATTAATAAATCCAATCTTCGAGTTGGGTTGAAATATTAAAACAAAGAAGAAAAGAAGATTATAAAAGAATATAATAATGAAGAACCTTAGGGTCCTAAAACTTGCATTTATCTAAATAAGTAAACCTCAAGTGGGAGAATCCTATCGTTGATATATTAAAACAAAGAAAAAAAGAAGATTATAAAAGAAGATATTAATGAAGAACCTTAGGGTCCTAAAACTAGCATTTATCTAAATAAGTAAACCTCAAGTGGGAGAATACTATTGTTGATTAAACTACATATTACAATAAGATGCTACTATCTAAAATGTGACTATCAGGACACAGTGAATATTTTACAGAAAACATTACTATTATACACTGAAAACATTAAAACCAGGGGCTCAATCTAATAGGAAAAATGTTAGAAATTAAAAAGAACAGTTTAAGCAAAAGAAAAAGACAAACAGATTGGGATTTAAGAAAACAAATTAGAAATATATGCAAGACTTGTCACCAGAATAATTTTAAAATTTACATTCCAAGACATCAAATCCAATATTTTTTTATATACGTCAAGCAGCCAACCCACTTTTGAGTTTACGACTGCTAATGCTCAATTTCGTAGTCTAGTAATTTTTGAACCAAACCAGAAGACAAGGAAACTCTTGGATCAGTACCTCCAGAGATATTGATTTGTAATGGGAACATGGAGGACTTTGCTATTTGACAGATTTAACGTGCATCAGTCACCATTTACTACACGTCTTCAGCTGGCAGGGATCGAACCCACAAACTCTTGGCAGGGATCCAACCCACAAACTCTTGGCAGGGATCCAACCCACAAACTGTTGGCAAGGGCCCAGTGCCTGTGGCGTAACTACCACTATAAATATTAAATACCAATTCACTAGTATATAAGACATGCTAACTTGATTCTATCATGAGGTACCTTTTGATAGATGAAGGTTGACATAGTCGATAATTAATTCCCCCACATTGGTGACCTACGGACGTGATAAGAAATTGTCAATATTGATGGATGAATCCACATTAAACAGTTGATTTGCTTAAAAAAAAATACTGCTCAAAAAAAAATCCGGTGAAGTAAATAAAATCTCCCGGTTAATAAGTAATAATGAGCGAAATGCTACAAAAAAAAAATAATAATAGCGAAAAGCTGTAAAAAAATGATGGGAAAAAATAGCGAAAAGCTATAAAAAAATAAAAATATAATGAGCAAAAATTGAAGTTAATAAATAAACAGCATTAATCAACTAGTGGTAATTGTTCATCGAATTCTATCACAGATAAAATTCTGGACGGGGAGTAATGTGGCGTAACTACCACTATAAATATTAAATACCAATTCACTAGTATATAAGACATGCTAACTTGATTCTATCATGAGGTACCTTTTGATAGATGAAGGTTGGCATAGTCGATAAATAAATCCCCACATGCCCTATCAACCAATCCCAGTCCTAAATGCAATATTTGACATAAACAGACTAATATTTGAAATGAACAGACTAAAATAAAACACAAATCATATAAATAAAATAAAGTATGCATAATATAGCAATTAATATATATTAAAAGTATAAGCATAGAAAAATAATAATATTAGTATATTATTGTCATTATTCATAATTGCATTTTATTATTAACAAATCTACTCCAGATATAAGGTTATAACTAAAAATCAATAAGAAAGAAAGAAAAAAAAATTTTTGAAGGCACACCAATGGCTAGCATATTTGTAAAAATAGTCTTTATATTTGAAATTATCAAGCACAAAAAACTCAAAAATTCCATTTCTTATTTAGATTTTTTTCCTTAATATTTGATTTTTGGATTTAGAAAACAGTTTTTATTCTGCCAATAATAGAACAAAAATAGAAAATAATCTTAATTACGTTAATATTTGAACAAAAATGCAAATATGGGAACCAATGATCGCGCAGACCAATGATGGGTCCAAGAAAAAACTTTTCAGTCTGTCTCTTTCTTTTTCAAAATTTGGCTATCGAAATTTGGTGAAAGCTCAAACTTTTTGGCCTTCAATTTTGCGCTACAATAAAAGTATACAATTATATGTATTAAAATAATTCATGCTTTCATCATACTTTTATACTTTCTATAAGTCAAAATTTAATCAAACTTTTAAATTTTCTGTAAGTCTTTTTCATCATTTAAATAAGTCATACTTTCTCAAATATTAAATAGCCTTAAATATTTTAATAAGTCATACCTTTTCTTTAAGCAAGCCTGTATTTCCAATAACATCTTCAAATAATGCTTTGCCAACATGCACATCAACAGCGCTGAGAGTATCATCTAATAGATAAATATCTTTATCCTGATATACAGCTCGGGCTAAACTAATCCGTTGTTTTTGACCTCCGCTGATGTTAACTCCCTTTATAAAGAAAATTAAATTCATTAGATGCTATCAAACACACATGTTAAAATACATGTGTACAACATGTACAAACACACATGTATAAAAACTTCTATAAAAATAGCCTTAATTAATTTTCTTATTAGATACACATATAAGATTTATTTGATATTAAGTTTTCTAAAAAGGGTTTCCACTCAATTTTCACAAAAAATTCAAGAACTTTTCAATGACTTTCAAGGGCCTAGAATCCAATTTTTTAAGGATCTACTCAGTAACAGTTATTATGCTAAAATACGCATAAAATGTAGCTCACAGCTACAAATGGAAAAAGTTTGATAGTTACTTTGTGATTTAAATCAGTTTGAAGATTGACATTAGCATACTTACCAACTTTTAAAGACCCGCACCAATAAAACTTAACATGAAAATTTTAATGAAGCGTACTAGATTTAATTGAAAAATAATATTTAGCATATCAGTTTCAATTTTAAAAGCACGATATCTTTCTACTACCTTAGAATATCAATAAATGTATTTTGAACATAAAAAAATCTTTTGTATTACAATATTTTGACAGATAAAACTAAGATTTACCAAACTTTATTTTCTTTCAAATAAATCATAAACCGCAAAGCGTGATTTTATTCATTATTTTGAATAAGATTAACTCTGCCTAATTTTTAAATTATGTGTATACAAATCTCTATACGTTACATGTACATCAAATTACATGAAACGTGAAGCAAGTCTTGAAGAGCACATAAATTATGAATCACAACGTATGAATTGCAATTTGAAATACAACGCATGTTTCGTAAATCGTAGCAATATGAATATCAAACGATACAGATTCAGGGTTCCCACTCAATTTCAAAAAAAAAATCCTGACTTTTCCAGGTATACCAGATAAATTTCAACAAAAATTGAGACCATATTTTCATCAGAAAACATAGATTCTTTTATTTGCAATGTGAAATATTTGATTTTCTGTGTAAAAAGACATTATTAAATGAGGAAGGGAACATTTCAGTTGGACTAAAATGTGAAATTTTTATGACAAATAACTGTAATAGATGTTAGAATTATTTAATTTGAATCTCAATAACAGATTACTGTTACTGACAATTTCAAGATTGGTTTCTTTCCAGGTATGATATAGGAATATTCCAGGTTTTTGCTAAAAAATTGCAACATTCCCTGACTATCCCCTGATTTGTGGAGTTAAAATAAATTTCCCTGACAATTCCAGGTTTTCCCTGTTCCCCCTGACCCGTGGGTACCCTGAGATTAAAAAATGCACGAAGTAACAATTTGTAAATTGGGATAGGTGATACATTAACCACTTTAAGGCGAATCAGGTTGCATGATTCTTTGATTACTTTGATGCAAAACACAATGCGTGCTTTGCTAATCATTTTTATGCCAAAAATCGATGTGTTATCTGGTAATCATTACAATGCAAAATGCAGTTCAATAAGTAACTTAAATTCGAATCGCTATGCGTGATTCATGAATCACTTTGATGAAAATCGCAAACTGCAATTCTTAAATCACTGTTATGCAAGTTACAATGCATATTTCTTAAATTCTTCTTACACAAATCTCAATGAGTGAATTATAAATCACTAGAATGAAAATTGTGATGCATGATTTAGAAAACACTTAAATGCATATCACTTTGAATGATTCAGAAATCATTTTAATGGAAACTCAGATTGATGATTCAAAGAAAATTCGAAGAAACTCTGCATTTCAAACAGTAACTAAAACTATGTACAAAAACGTAAGTTATTTGTGAGAGATTCTGACTTTCTAAACATCAAGGTGAACAAATAATCTAGAGAGAAAAACGTAGAAGGAAAAAATTATATATTCCCATTTCACCTTTAAGAATTTACTCATCGGAGCTTTTAGAAAATTGTGTTAAAACAAATTTCCTTACCATTTCATAATTGATAGCATTATAAATTTCATGTATTGGAAATTACCAGATTTTCAGAAATGGAAAAAGAAAAAATATCGGAATTTCGGTAAGATGCTTCCTTTCTCTACAAATTGGAACAAAACTTTTATTTTCCAACATTAGCAAATAAAATAAAAAGTTTCAAAATTAGTGCATGCTAAACATAGTTAAAACTAGGCTAATACCAGACATGGTTTCTTTCGTTATTTTCTTTTGATGACTGGTTTTTCTACACCCTACTTATATTTTGAAATCCAATCGTAGAAGAGAGGTAAATAAGGATAAGGGACTTTTTCTAAATTTAGAAACTCTCATTTAGCTGACCTTAAACTATTCTTCGATAAAGAAAGCTGTAAAATGAGGGGATGTGATCAAAATTTATATGATTTTGCTTGAATTTTCTTTCATGCTATTTTGTATGAAAGATTATTATTATTTTGAAAATTTCTTCAAAAAAATCTAAAATCTTTCAAAGACCCTATCACTGACTTCAAGGACTTTTCAGGGCCTTGATTCTTTACAACAAATTTTCAGAACTTTCAAAGTTTTTCAAGTATCGAGGGAACCTTGATAAAGGTTCTTATATCAACCTGGGAAAACAGGAGATTGATAAATTATTTGTTCCTAACAAATTTGTGCTTGTTAAAAACAAATTCAGTTTTTTTTTAACAGACTCCCACTAATTTTTGCATAGGCACACTATATTAAATATTTATAACATAAAGGCAGATTAAATGTTTTATTAGTCACCTAATTATTGATATCTGAACTATTACCAGAATTTTGTATTAATGGTATTTGTACAGTTAAACATTGATTTAAACTTTTTAATGCGTCAAAAAATATGAATACCTTTTCTCCTATTTCTGTATTATCACCAGTAGGTAAAATTTCCAAATCCTGTCTCAAGCAACATACATCAAGCACTTTATTATACTTATCTTCCATTAGAGATTTTCCAATCAAAATATTCTCTTTTAGCGATCTGTTTAAAACCCAGGCAACTTGTGGAATATAAGCCAAACTACCCTAAAATTAAGAAAGAAAAAACAAATAATAATGAATAAAAAATAAACACAAAAAAAACTATTTTTTTCACTTCAATTCAATAACATCAACACTTAATATAAAAAGGATTTTAGACCAATGGTATAGTCAAAATATTGTGAGACAGAATCACTTGAGAAATTAATTTGATTTAATATATGCATTCAGAAGCCATTTTTAACATATTTTATGACTCAACCAAATAAAAAATATAAAAAAATTTATGTGTTTGAATCACAATGTATGTTTTCAAATTAAAGATTTCAAATTCTTCATTTCCAAGATATTAATTGCTTAACGCAAGAGATTGAAATCTGGATTATAAAAACATTTGAGATTGAGATAATGTAATGATATTCAACAGAAAATGCATCGATAAAATTAGAGTTAGCTAATTAGACATCCACCTTCAGCTTTCACAAAAAAAATCACCAATACTTATTTTTTTATAATTAAAAAAATTACTACTATTACAAATAAAGGTTTCTGAATGACCTATAATATTTTTAAAAAAAGATCCCATTGCCAATCATGTTGGTCTTTAAATTTGGAGTTAAAACCCATGTAACCTCCTTGACCAACAAACTGGCTTTTGTTAAGGTTCTTCATTTTTATACTTAAAAAGGCGACGCAAACAATTATACTTATTAATTACTTATTAAAAGAGAACATACATAGGTAAAAATACACATTCATTGAAAATGTAACAATTACAATTTTAGATTATAAAATTACTAGAATTATCTTTTTATATTTGATTAATGTAGCTTTTTTATAATAAAATAACTAGCATATTCTATTAACAGTCGGCTAGAAGCAATTGCATTTATTTAAATAGTCACTGATTCTAGCCAACAGTTTAATCAGATTGTATTGATAACTAAATTGTCGGATTAGCAGGGTTTTAAGATATATCAAGCTATAAAATACCTGAATATCTATTGATCCGCTCTTTTTATACATGTCTCCAAGTATGGAAGATAACAAAGAGGATTTTCCACTTCCAACAGGTCCAATAACTGCAACTAACTTTCCTTGAGGAATATGTAACTCAATATCATTAAGGGTACAATCAGAATCAACTGCCCAAGTAAATGAAGCCTGTTTGATTGTAAGAACATCTCCTGCATTAAAAAACAAACAAAAAAATAATTTAAAACTAAAATAATAAATTTTTTAAAATTGCAAAAAGTTCTGAAATGATAGCATATTCTGGGGTGATTGTGAATCCAAATCATAGTTCCGGGAAATTTCTTGCGAAAAAAAAAACTGTTTAAATTGAAAAATTAGAAAAGAATTTAAACAAGGTTTTTTTCCTTTTTCTCAATATTTCTTAGTTTACCTAAAATGTATTTAAAATTTTACACATACCTATACCATTTACATATACCTATGATGACCTGGAGAAGTAATTGAAATTTACAAATATGTCTTTCTTTCTTGAGTTTATTATAACTATTTACTGATAAAAAATTAATATTAATCATGAATATAACTCATAAAGTTTCTCTCTGGCTCTCCCTTACAAACAAATAAAATAAACTGTGATTTTAAGTTCCACCTTTGAAAATTTGATTTCCGGAAACTTCTGTGATCAATGATTTTTTGAAACGTCTGGGCCTTCGATCTCCGGAAATTCCGGATCACTGTTAGCGAAAAATCCCGAAATCCGGATTTTTTCCGGAGCACAATCAGCCCTGCATATTTATTAAATGATATACAAAAAAAAAATTTTAACTCCCATATTATTACAAATAATTTTAAAAACTATAACCAAAACTTGAACAGTGAGCAAAGTAAAAAATAGAGACACCTTTACTGCCGTGCAAAAGAAAAATCAACATAAGCAACAAAATTGAGATTTATATATATTTGGCATATAAGTATGAATTGAATGTAAGATTTAATGGCACAAGGTCCAGAGAGGACATGCTGCGGCATATAAGTATGATAAACTACATGCTGCAAAAACATTTTTGTCAAAAATAAATTTTGCTTTATCAGTTTACTGAAATTCTATTTTGGCCTTCCTAGCATTAGCATTATAAAGAAAAGAATTGTCAAGTTACTTTACTCGGAATCTATCTATCGTGAAGCACTTTCATTGTTTTTTCAATTGCACCGCATTTCAGATCTAATGATCAGTTTTCCTTATACTAAGATAGTTTTAATATTTCAAGAGTCTAGTCAGAAATATATGCTAATTAAATATGTGCAGAAATAGTTTAAGTTAAAATAATAGACCAATAATTTATTTTCACAGAATAATAATGGATTTAGCTTTTTTAAACTCAACATATGTGGGAAGGGTAGATATGTAACAAGAAAACTTATGTAAAAAGGAAAATATGTCCACAATAGTCAAGTCAAAAAAACAATCAAAACTTAGGACTTTTTAATGTTAACATACACATGAGAATCTCATTATTAATTTCGTGGTGGACAGAGGTGTCTTTTGGGGCTTAGCCTGGCAGCCTCACTCTCCGGGTAATTTTCTAAATATATTAATTTATATGTACACAAAAATGAATTAATTTTTTACTAGGAGCTCCATATGACACCATATTTCTAAAAAAAGGATTAGATAAGATAATAAGTTGGTTTTTAAATGTTAGGAAATATGTTATGCATATTACTAATGTAAATTAGAGAATGGTCCCTATTAAAGTTTAATTAAATTATTACACGTTATAAATTATCAGAAATTAACTATTATATGGTCCCTGCATCCATAATATTTAACAAATCTGAGATTATTGAATTTTTTTCAATTGTTTTTAAATTAAATCATTGAGAGATTAATAAAAGTTTTTTAATGATGACAATTCTGAATTAACATCTTTTACTGCATTTGCTAAATGTTAAAATATGGAAAGGTCCCTCACTTCACACTTTTTTTTAAAATGTTGCCTTTAAATGATTGAGTTTCTTCATAAAATAACTTAAGAGCATGGAAAATTGAATAAGTAATAAGGTACAATCAAAAACTTAAAAATTTTATGCAATTAATAAACAGTCCAGAAATTGAGAATCTAAATCTTTTGCAAAATGCACCAGAGTTGCATATGGGAGTGCAAGAATCCTCCCAACCGAATCCAGCTCAGTGTAAGCACATGCAGATCCACTACTATTTCATCAAACATGTAAAATAATTGGCACTTTCATGCGGTACACTAAAATGGATTGTGATTGAATAAATTGCGAAAATGTTAAAGGAAACAATATGAAAACCATGCTTTTTGCTTAATTAGTGATGAAAATCAACCATGGTGAAGAAAAAAAATCTCATTTTGGAAAAGGAGAAAATAAAGTACTTTTTAAAAATGCTCAAGGGAAAAGCAAGAGCTTTTAAAAAACAAAAAGCGAAAATAAGCACTTTTTAAAAATGTGTTTTACTTTGAGCACTGCACATTATGATTTACGTACCATTATCAGGATCATCCCCCACAAGCCAGGAATCCTTATTTTCAGCTGCAAGAAAATTCTTCAGTCGACCTAAAGATATATTGCACTAAAAAAAAATACCAAATCAACTAATTTGTCTTTATAAAATTTTGTTGAACAACAATAAATCCTAAACCATACCTGAACAAGTTCAGCAACAGCATCTGGAAGATTAAAAATGGCAGCCTTCAGTTGTTCCATAAGAGTCAAACAAACAAAAGCACGAGTTGGGCTGAGAGTATGTGAGCTATCTTCCAGTAGATAAGTAGAAAAGCTAACAATTAACACCTGAATATTAAACAAATACAAAATTTTTATACTGTTATGTAAACATAAAGAGTTTTCTATAAAAAAAAACTACTTATTGTTATGAAACTACTAATAAAATTATACGGTATATAAAACTACTTTTTCAGTACTTACATCAGGGCTGGAAAAGTAAATTACTCAATATGCCAGATGTGTATAAACAAAAATTTGGCTAGAATTTTTCATTTATACCTGCCAGACTCAATTCTGTGTTTATGATTATCAATTTTCAATTTTTTAGCTGAACTAAACCCAAAAAACAAGAGGATTCTTAGATCACGCATTGGAACAAACTAGCATTTGTGGAGGACTTTTTAATGGAACTAACCTGCATTTGAATTAAATAGAGAGGAAAACCACGAAAACCTCCCACCGTTAGCCCAACGGTAAGGGGAGACTAACCTACGATTCATTTACTACTGAAGATATTTTATGTCATCACAGTAGTAGGTGGAAGCCTACAGCACTGTAGCAGGTGATTTAAGTAAAATTGAATGGATGATTTTTTTTTTTAATTTCAAAATATATCTCGAACACTGATATTGATGAGGTTAGATAAGCAGAAAACTCTTTTAACAGAAAAATTTCTTCCATTCTAAGAATCATTAAATCTTAGGTGGAAATCGTAGCTTCATATAGATATTATACAATGCTAGAAAAAATTATAATTGTAATTAATAACTGCACATTCATATATCAAAACTATACACGTGTGTCATAAATTTTGAAAAAAAAAAAAAAACTTACACCCTCATCATTTTGAATAATAAGAAAAACAAAGACTACTTAAAATATGACATACAGTCAAACTCAACTAATCAATTTTTCGAAACTAGAGGCAATTTTAAAATCATTGCTGATTGCATAATCTTTAACATTCAATGCTTTTCAATTACACAAAGTTCATTAAGTCAATCTTTTCAATAATCCAAAAGTAACATTTCCAAAACAAAACAAAATCATCTATAAATCTAAAAAATTTTCCATAAATCTTTTTATTTTATTAAATTAAAACTTTAAAACTGTGGAATAGAAAGAAATGAATAATGTTCAACAGGTAATTTTTTAAATAATTTTCCAGAAGTAAACACTTTCATAAGTTTAAAACTATGTTTAAAGTCAACCCTAACCAAAATGTCTTCCATTCATTTCTTTTAATAATATTTTTCATGTTCTTGTTCTTAAAAAAAATCGATTAACGCAAAAAGAAAATTTTGAACATTTCAATTATCTATTCAACAAATTTTCAAAGAGTGAATATATATTATTTTTTATATACAGGGTTATTCATAATTGCCTCCGGGCAGGAACTGGACTATAGCATTGATGTATGCCGTGTGACCAAGAGATCACACATAGAACACCTGTAATGTATGTAAGTAAAACTTGAATAGTTTCAGAATAATTTCATACGTTTCTCTTTTTCATATTCATCTTCTTTTTTTTACTATAACGCTTCGAAACTCCGGAGGGAATTATGAATAACCCTGCTTAAATAAATTACATTTAAAATATTTTACCATGAGTGGTGCACAGAAATAAAAAATGCAGGAAAAAATAAAGCAAAGCTGCGAATAAAATATAAGCTTCAATTCTTGTTTTCTGGCTTCCGATATTTTAGCACCAAATGGTATTTCCCATGCGTAAAGTTTAATTATCTGAAAAATTAAATTACATTAGACGTAATAACTTAAGACAATTAAAACAGAAAAATTATGAGATATAAATATTTAATTTATTTTTACCTTAATTCCACTGAGTATTTCGTTTAAATATTTAAGCCGAATATCTTTTAAGCCCATTTGCTTATCCTGCAACAAATAACACATAAAATGATTTCTTATACACAAATGTTAATAGAAAATACATCAGATAATAAATACTCCAGTATATTTTATTTTCAATCATTAGCAAGCTATAATATTGAAAACAATATTATTAAAGAAATAATGCATTGAATATTTTTAAAAAATAAAATTTAAACAATTTTTCCTTAATTTTTACAAATTGAAATCTCAAAATCTGAATTTTATAACTACAAATGTTATGAATATAGCTAAATATTGCTTTCTACAATGGAGAGTAAAATAAAAATTTGCAAAAACAGTGTAAAAATTTCTTATTTTTATAAATGTTTCTGATGGGACTTGAGACAATTTTGTAGACTTAATTTTTTTTTTTATTTATGTTTTTTTTGTTAATTTTTAAAATTTTAATATTTGCTTTTTTTTTAGCCCAACTTATACACCAGACATGCTATCTTGTAAACAAAAATAAGGGGTTGACTTATAAAAATGGATATACCATATTTCCACTGAGCTATGCTAATTTGTTTGACATAAATAGTGGAAATATAAAAGTAGAAACATTTTTGATTTGCAGTTTATAAGTAATGATTAGTTACCCATAACTTAAACCTATAAAACTTTGTAAAGTAACACTGTTTCAAATAAAGTTGCCTGGATTAAAAAACGAGTTAAATTCATGTAATAAATACAAATACTCACAGTAAACTTTGTGCTGATCCGAGACACAAAATAGCTAAAAGGTATTAGACAGACCAACACAGAAATACCAGCAAGAGTTGATATCCCAATATACTGCCACATGAGATAAATTGTTAACACAAATTTTAATGGCAAAGTGATAAGAAATGATAGGTTCCATATTAAATAAACCAAACGTTCAATGTCAACTGACATCAGACTAGATATTGTCCCACTGGAGAAGTTCTTACGTGATGCAGTAGATAACAATAAACACTGAAAAAAACGTTTATAAAACAAAATATAAAAAAATCTTATAGACATTCATTTGAGACTTACAAATTAAATTTTAAATAAAATTTATAATTTCTAAGCATACCACAGGCAAATAAGATAAATTTTATGCAGAAAGTTCATTCAAAATTAATTCTCAACAATAAAAACCAAAAAAAATATTCATGATAAAAAACTTTTATAGACATTCATTTAAAACTTACAAATTAAATTTTAAGTATAATGTATAATTTCTAAACATACCACAGGCAAAAAAAGATGAAGTTTATGCAGAAAGTTCATTCAAAATTAATTATTTGAAAAAATTTTATTGACAATGGTTTCTTAAATTTACTATAACTTTTTTTAAAAAAATTAATAAGCATTTTTATATCTGTTGAATTTTTATACACATTTTAACAATATATATAAAATTTTAAAAATCTATCTTTAAAATTGATTCATAGTACTTAAAAAAAGTAATAAATTATGCTTCAATCTGTGGCTTGAGATGCACTAAAACATGTTCACACGAAAACAGAATAGAAATCTAATAAAGAGATTTACTTAAGTTTAATGCGTAATTTATAATTGGTTAAACTATACTTGATGCATGCCTTAAATAATCTTTAACAATTAAGTTTGTATAATAATAGCAAATAGTTAAGTTATGCTATATGAGGTTTGTAGACAAAAATACATTACCAAACATTTATCTACAAAAAGTAATGAAAATTTCAAAAAAATACTAGAGTTTTTAAGAAAATGTTATAGGTTTATACTTATATTAAGTTACAAGAAGCAGAAAAAATATCATCTTTTTAGCACTAGATAATTAGGATTGATTCAATGATAAGTAACAGAATTAAAATAAATTTACATATTCACTTTTCTATAGACCCCAGTCATTAATGCAGTTTTCATTTGAAGACCAGATAGCAGAAAATATGCTACTCCATTATTTAAAATAATTTTATTCACAAAATCTACAATAAACATTATCACAGCATACATGTAACCTCTCCAAGCAAACTTGTCATGGTCTACAAAGTCAATAACACGGCTGAAATAAAATTAAAAATAAATTAAAAGTTTAATCTTTTCCTGTATCAAGTAAATAATGCAAAAATCGAGCAAAATTTTTAAAGTTTCAAGTTTACTATTCAAAAACATGCATATATTTACATACACTGGGATTGACAAAACCCAGACACCACAGGCTTAACGAAATTGTAGCAGGTGCTTAATATTTTAATAAAATTGAACCTGCTTTTTATAATTTGAAAATCTGAATTACTTTTGAAAGACAGAGATTATTCTGATATCTGGTCAGAACATTCTTAAAGTTTACCTTTCTAACCAACTCAGATGATCTGAAAGGCATATTTTGACATTATGCTGGCATGTAATGTGATTTTTTAGCTTGTATAATAGTTAGTACATTGAAACTGTAAACCAAACTTCTAATCAGTTTACTTATTTTAAGATAAAATTAAAATAAAAATAATAATTGCCCAAGTGTAATTTTATAAATCTATTCCCTAGCATGTTAACGCCTAAAAATTTGTTCTGGTTCGTTCAAATATTGAGCTTTTGTAGATATCCCCTTCTGGATTGGCATCTATGCTCCAATAGGAAGGTAAAAGTGTGGGAAAAGTTTTGATAAATCTTGCATAGCCATTGCCAATTTTTAATTCGTATCTAAAAATTTTAAATCTATTTTTAATTGAAGTCAAAGCTTCAATTGTTAAGCTTTTAAAACTAAAATTTAAAAAATGAAGAAAAAAAATTATCTTCACACAAACTACATTTGTAACTAATATTAATAAAATAAATTATACATACTCTAGTAAGAGAGGAGGTAAAAGTGTACCAAAGATTGTTGATAGATCTAGCAAAAATGCTACGAGTAGCCATTGCCAATATGTTTTTATCAACGCCAAAACTAAACTCCTAGACTTTAACTTCTCTGGAGATCTAAAAAGAAAAATGAATTTTTAAAAAAATTTTAATAAAAAATAGAATCAGTTAAATAATAGAAAAAATCAGGATAAAAAATAAAGTTAGAACTTCATTGAAGGCACAACATTTTTGAGAAGTATTTCCATTTAGTTAAAAACTGTCAGTGCAAAAATAATAAATTTGTAAAATTGTTGTTGAACTGCATTTTAAGTAACTGCATCTATTTTAAATGAAGATTTCTATTACTTTTATTTGTGCTACATGTCATAATTATTGAAGGAATATGATTATAAAATTTTCTGTCATAATTTTCCTGAAATTTTTAATAGGTCTTTTGTGCACCTCAACTTTCACAAAGAGTCAAGAGTAGATACAGACTTGAGCAGTGAAACAAATGCTGACATTTCTACTAATAACTTAACAGTTCTTGTAAAAAAAATGGAAGTGGAAAAAAATAATCAAATTGATCAAAGACTTCTGAACTTGCAAGCAGAAGACTCAGTTATTGCATATGTCGTTGTGAAAAAAATTTTGATGCTAAATTTTTTAACATTTGTGATAATGACATGGAGCTTTTCCAGCTGACAACTAAAAAAGAAATTTGTAGGGAGTTTCCCTTTCCTGAAATAGTGGATTTTGTTTTTAAACTTCCTCTTGAAAGAAATGGTGTGACAAACAATTTTTGAAAAATATTTCTCGAGAAATTGTCAAATTGTATAATCAATTGTGTGTACATTTATATTTTAAAAATTTAGACTATAAAAAGAATAACAAAAAATATACACATCTTAAAATTTCTTATGCAACCATTTCATGCAGTGGCGTACGCAGAATTTTTTCAAGGGGGTGTTCATAATTTTCTGAAACTACTAAAAGAGATTCGAGTCTGTAATAAAGCACTAGTATTTCCCTAATTTAGACAGCTAGACAATTTTGACTTTTTATTTAGACAACATTGCTTAGTTAAATTTTGATTTGATTTTTTAAGTTTAAGAACATATTGCAATATCTTCTGAAAAAAGTCCAACGTCATATGGGTAGGAAGTAACACTTTGAAGGTCATTTCACATTCATCAGATTTTGTTATGCTAGAAACGTTTTCTTCAACGGAAGTATCACATTTCTGTACAACAGAAAAACTTACATTGGTACTAGATGCTGTCACCTCACTAATTTCAGATCGTGATTTTTTCTCAAAATAATTAAAAATTGCTAAATTCTTGCGTTAAAAATTGTTAAATCCTAAAGATCCAAGAACAGCAAATATATATATATATTGGCACAGAAATATCCGCTATGCTACGATCTCAAAGTTTCGAGCTGGAATGAATAACTTCAACGAGCACAGTATCTCCAATGGTATTGTTACTGATTTCTTCACTAGTCGAAATAGTGGCGACGACGGGTTCGGCGATTGAATGAACTTTTTGTTGAGATAAATCAAAACAGATTTAGCGACAAGCTCCGAAAGACAAGCGGCAGAGATAACTCTTAGTCTGACTAACTAACTCCACTGTACTCCGTTCCCCCTTTTATATAATTTTTCACCGCATCTCCAAAATTCTCGAATTGTCTCAAAGACGACAGAACGTCTAGGATTCCAGAATCATCGCGTAAAGACCTCGCGAATGACAGCCAGTTTCGAAAACTATACTGGCAGGACAGAAAGGAACCAGTCCGTAACAGTATCACGTGAATTTGGTTTCAAAAGTACAACCCTATTATAGTAAATGTTTTTTCAGTATTCTGAGAAATACAGTGAGGAAAAAAAAGTAGGCATAATGTAAACAAAAATATATAGTCTTAATTAAATAATAGCTCGCAAAATTTCAGCTAAAATTTTTATTTTTGCAATTTTGTCTGAGCTCAAGGGGGTGTTTGAACCCCTAAACCCCTCCCTTGCGTACGCCACTGATTTCATGACATAAATAACTTTTAAAAAAAGTATGCACACACGCATAAATTGAACTCACATGTGAAACTGCCATTTTCTTGAAAATAGTGTCTGAACATATCTTGAAAGCTGCTTGGCACTCAAAAATCCAAAATCATTGATTTCTACAGTCTTTTTCTTAGCTTTGTATATAAAACTAAAATATATAAATTCATTATAGGTATTTCATACATTATTGAACAAGTGAACATATATAGAGATAGTAACGAAATTATAAAAAACAGGATATATACTTAAAGTTATACAATAACACATACATAAGAAAAACAGTATGATACTAAACATGATACCAATACCAAAAAATCCTACTATGAATTTGTTCCTACGTGCTTTGACCAGCAACACTTTCAGTATTAAAAAAAATCATACAATTAAGTATCCGGAAAATGCTAGAATAATCTAATTTTATATAGAGAACATTATTTAGATACATTAAAGCCCAAAATTTTAAAGTTCTATCTGACCATATTTTCCAAAAAAAAAAATGTGACAAAAAAGCTAATAAAAAATTATAAGAGTTGCATATTATAAAAAAAATGAAGATAAAAAGAAAGAAACAATACTGCGCAAAAGCATTAAGGATAAATAAAAGACTGAATAAAAGCTATCAAAAACTAACAAAAAATTTAAATTGCTAGCAAGAGAGTAATAGAAAAAAACATTTATTATTCCTAACCCTTACTAGACTATCATTTATTTTAATTAATTACTAAAATTTGACAGACAAAGAAATCGAATTTGTTTTAAGAAGTATGTTAAGTGCACCTGTAACTCCTTTGCTTAACCCTGTTCTGCAATTTTGACATAAAACTCTGAATTTATACACACTAGCTTTAAGGATAAAAGAAAAAAAAATATTTTTGAATAACTCAATCAAATATTTTTTTGTTTATTTATAATTATAGTTGTTAAATACCTATTAACAGGGAGTACGAGAACCATATCGTATATCTCAGTGCATAAGTAGACTTTTTAAGCTCCCAAAATTTTGACAAAAATTAAGGGGTCAACCTATGTATCAATAATAAAGTCTAACATTTGCTGATAATGAAATATTGATGCATTATAACTAATGAGGTTAAATTTGAATATTATATCAATTTACTTTATTTAAAAATTATTTTTTATATGTTACTTACAGTTAATTTTGCAATTAGTTTCATCACGTTTTCTTTACATATAAATGTCTTTTAATGAATGTCATTTAAAGTAATGAAAGCATTACTTTAAATGACATTCAGAAAAAAAACTTCATAAGTGAAGATAATTAACTCAAGAGCATTTTAAAAAATATATAATACACTGAAAACTTTTAAAGCATACCAAAAAACTACAAATTTAAACTACTAGTCCCACAAAAATTGGTCTTCACTCCTTCCAAAGAATTTGAAATTCCACACATTTCAAAAGATTTTACAATAACATAATTTGAGAGCATATGTATCATATGCAGAGAGAACAATGTAATACAATATAGAGAACAATATAGAGACAATTTTGCATAGTTTTCTATGTTTTTTGTTTTAAAGAAAACCCAAAAAGATGTTTTTTCCAGCTCTATATATCGGGGGTTGAGAATCATAATCTGTCGAAAAAAAGGTATGTTTAATAGAGAAAGTTGTCCTTTAATGTCTGATTTTGCAATTAAAAAAATGTCTGAACTAATAAGCAAACTTCAGGCTACCCTTGTAACTACAGTGAATTCGCGATAACTCGAATCTGATAGGACTGACAAAAAACTTCGACACATCGGAAGTTCGACTTACCATTAGTTTCGGTTTTGGACTTTCAAAATATTGTCGGTATATTTAATTAATGCTTATAACTTACAAATCTTCTACATGCTTACAATATTTAAGATCATTTTTCTGACAAGCCACTTACGATAAGACTGTTTGAAGCACTTTATGATACCCTGGTCCATCGGCTGTAACTTTGCTGTTGTGTTTCGCGTGAGAAACTGCAAGTTTACTGCTTTCAAATTAGGTAGATCACTATGCGCTGTGCATTTATCCATAAAGAGTATCAGTTTTCTCTTCTAAGCGAAGAATTTCCGATCCAATTTTCTTACATAGTCTTCAAATAATACTGATGTCATTTGAAACTTTTTGTTAGACTTGTAATCCAAAGGATACGTTTTTACATTCTTGAAACATCGGGGATTTCGGTATTTTCCGATAGCAGGTAAGGGCAATTTCTCTGTCCCAGACGCATTTCTTCCAACTAGGACACTCAAACGTTCCTTGCTCATTTTACCCCCTAAGCAGTTTTCCTCCTTAAACATCATAGTCATATTTGGAAGACATTTAAAAAATAAACCCATTTCATCAATATTGAAAACATCATTTTAACTGTATCCTTGAAGTAAATTTGGTAACGTTTCATTTAACCACTGTTCACATACTTCAAGAGGGACAGCTTAGGCTTCTCCATGAAGAGTGCGAAAGACATTGTGTGTGTGTTGCAAAGGAAGGGACAAGATATCAGCTACTAGGTTTTTTTTCTTGCTTCAAAAGATCCAAAAAAAAATCGAGTTAAATGGAGTAAAATTCGAGTAATCGAGAATAATTAACATGAAATTGAAGATAAAAAGGGTCGGGACCTCATAAAAAAATCGAGTTATAGTAATATTCAAGTTATCGTACTTCGAATTATAGCGAATTTACTGTATTAAGATTGAGTCCTAGTATATAAAAATCGAATCATTAGATCAAAAATTATACAGGGTGATTCTTCTTTTTTTTTTTCACTGTACATTTGTATATATTTCATTAAAAAAATACATGCCCTAATCTTACATAAATTTGATAATTAACACTTACAAATTTATAGATTATTCATGTTTAATTAAATGTTGCGTCATTTGCTTACATTTTTATGAAATTATTAAATATAAATCACAAGTCTTTACACATGAAATTACACTAAATATAACAGAAATATTTAGATAAAAACAAACTTTAACTTTTTCTCAGCATTTTGACAAATTGGCAAATAAATTTTATTACACAAACATATCAATAAAATAATCTAATGTAAATAACAAAAATTTAAGAAAATGAAACATTAATACAAACCTACTAAACCAACAATAAGTTATATATGGCAAAAATGGGATGTTGTCGATGATGCACCTATCCTAAATCAATAATAAAAAATCAGTCAATTGATTACATTAATTAAAAATAGAATAAAGAAAAAGTATTTAAAAACATACAGGATACTTTTTCTTGGTATAAAATATTGAAAAGATTCCCACATTAATATTGTCTTTCTAACTGAAAGACTTCAAACTACAAATTGCAGTAAAACCAGCATAAATCTTTACAATAACCGTTATTTGTATTATTTACAATTTGATGTAAGCAGATAACTCCAGTAAGGAAAAATCATAGAATTTGTCAAGATTTATAAATTTTGTCAAAATTGGAAGCTCAATCATCATGTTTTCTCCATCTTTCTTGTTTTAATAACATATTAATAATAATAAATAATTAATTTAGTTAAAATATGAGTGTTATACACCAACTTACATGCAATGAAGCAAAGTTTTTCTTATCTGGAAACAATGATAGGAAAAGTTGTAAATATATGAGAGGGTGATACACCATATCCAGGTAAAATGTTACTTTGAGAAACTCCATTCCCTAAATTAAACACAAAGAAAAATAAATAATTTTATTATGTAAGACACTGCTAGTGTATATGAGCAATTTATATTTCCTCAAATGTCAACTACAAAGTTACAAAATAAATAAATCAAAATTCAGTTGTCGAATAAAATATATAAAAAGTAAAATCAACATTATTTTAGCACAAAAAAAACTGAATAACTTTTGATCTAATGCTAGGATACAATCTTAATGGTTCAAGAGGCTAACCTTAATTATGCTAATCAATTACTACAAACAATATTTTAAGTTATAAAATCAGACACTAATAAGTACTTTTTTAGAATAAGCACACCTTTTTTATGGATTTGGAAAATATGGTTCCAATAGTTTAGGGCTTTAATGTTATATTAACGTAATATAACATTTATTATATTTCAATACTAACGTAATGTTAATTTCAATATTAACGTATTTGCTAAATCTTCGGAACTAATAAAGCAAATCTAAAAATTTCTTGCACACAATGACATAACTTTTGTTGTTATCTCTAGATAATTTCAAAAAAAAAAGTTTTTTTTTATAACTTTTTTTTAGTAATGGTTGACTTAGTAATGGTTGAAAAATTTTGACACAAATTTTGCACAATTTAACAGGGTGCATAGCAAGATTTTTCAACAAAAAGTAAGCACCTTTTTAAGCACTCAAAAAATATTTTTAATCTACTATCCAAAAAAAATTCATACTTAGAATCTGTGCAGCAATAAAAATAATTTTTTTCCTATCGTTTAAAGTTCTTAATTTATAAATATAAAATCAATAAAATTCAAAAAATTTACATAATCATGACAAAATAACTAGTTTCCGATAAATATTGCAGTGAAAATTGTGAAAATTATGCATTTTTTGAAATTTAAAATGACAATCGACACGGCAAATAAAAAATCTCTTTTTAATAGATAGAAAATTAAGCACTTTTTACAAACCCCGAATAAAAAATGCACCTTTAAGGGCTTTTAAAAAACGTAAATCAAAAATAAGCACCTTTAAGCACTTTTTAAAAACGATAAGTAATGAACTCAAAAATTTAAATCGGTTGAATAGTTTTCGAGAAATAAGAAATTTAAAATGCTCAACTTTTCAACCACTTTCATGCCTAAACTATTTTAACCATATTTTCCAGATTGCCTCCTTTCCTTTAGATTAATTTTAATCAAAAATTATTCTGGGTGCTGCCTTTTTTATTCTACTCTTAGCGCAATTATTTTATTTTAGATAATAAAAAATGCTACAGACTTTACAATTTTAATCTAATTAAAGCAAATCACTTGTAAACTAAAATAAGTTAATTATCTTCAATAGATAAAGCAAAATTTAAAAGCTTACTTACAGATGACTGATACTTTAAAATGATGGATCGATGAAGAACAATGCAACACAAAGTAAAGATGAGCCAGAAAATCGACATTAACCATGGCGTAGCAATTCTATGAATGCGATGTTTCAATGTTATGCTAATAGTAAAAAGCTACAAGAGAAAATTACACACTTATTATAGAGTTCTTTCCGGGAAACTTGATTTAAAACCGAATGTAAAATAAATAATATCTTAAAAATATCAACTTTTGAGCTCATATTCAAGCCACAGAATGGAAACACAATTATCATCCATTCATTAATTTTCTAAATTCATTAATATTCAAAAATTTTTACAACTAAATACTAAAACACTTACAAATTTATTTTTACAAATATATCAAAACTTTAATTTGAGGTACTTTTAGAAAAATTTAAATGTATCTTGTGCAATTGTAAGTATGAAAATAGGATAAGATAATTAAATCTAATACCTAAAAATGATATACCATTAAGTATCCTCAAACTAGAATTTTTAAGACCTCTACCTTTAATAAAAAAGAAATTATCAACTCAGATATTAAAATTAAACTAACTTCTGACATAATTATTCTAGAATTATATCAGATGGTGGTTGTGCTTGCATAATATCTACTTTTTAAGAACCAAAAGAACAGTTTTAAACAATCACACACTAATCTATAATGGAAAACTGATGATAAAATAAATTAGAAATATTAGAAGTCAACATTTTTTAAGAATATTGTTTGGCTTACTTACTGAAAAAATTAAGGGACTAATTTAAGCTGTCAAAAAATTTGTTTCTTAAATATTAGAACTTAAGTTCCCTTAGTGCATAACAGGGTCTGATATAGAAAAACAGGGGTCCTAAGCTGAGAACTGTCAAAAGGACCACCTGGTTGTTACTTTAAACCAAATTTATATTTTTTTTCAATTATGAAATGATTTTAAATTATTTATAACATAAGTAAATTACGATATGTTACTAAATTTAAGTTTATGCTCAATTAAATTTCTGTTAACTCATATTTCTAATAGACAATTCATAAGGAAAAACACTAATAGAATACATCTGACATTTAGGGGCCCTCAGAAATGTGTGGCCCCTTGGGCTGAGCATCTCATGCCTTCTTATGATAAATCAGACATTGAACATAAGTTATAGCACTAAATGAAATGCCATTTTAAAAATATTTTTAAAAGAAATTAGATTTTTCAAAATAGAATGCTGTTGTTGTTGTTGTTGTCGTTAATTTACGTCGCACTAGAGCTGCACAATGGGCTATTGGCGACGGTCTGGGAAACATCCCGGAGGATGATCCGAAGACATGCCATCACAATTTTGATCCTCTGCGGAGGGGATGGCACCCCCGCTTCGGTAGCCCGACGACCTGCGCGCGAAGTCGAGCACTTTACGGTAGCACAGTTTAACGAGGACCAATACCGCACACCCTCGGTCCCTACGCAGACTGATCCAAGTGGTCACCCGTAGTCAGTGATGCTTGACTTCGGTGATCTGCTGGGAACCGTGTCTTATCGATCAGTCCACTGCGGGACCAAAATAGAATGCAAATTCAGAAAAAAGCAAATATTTAATGCAATTTTTTTATAATTTTTTTTTCATCTGTAGGTAATAAGTTATTGATTATGGATTGTTTCCTAAAAGACCTGATGGTAATAAAAATCCCACCAATTCCTAAGCACAATCTTCAAAACCACACTTTATTTTAATATCACAAATATGTTTCTGAGTACGCAAATGTATTAATTAAGTTTAAAGAAAATTATGTTATTGCATAAAAAGCTATTTAAAAGATAAATTTAGACCTCCTTTCCTTATAGTGTGATTTTGTTTAACAAATGGGTTTATTCTTCAAAAAAAAAAAAACTTCGCGGCTTATTCTAGGTTTGTCTGAACTCCCTTTTTCTATACTATAAATTTTAAATTCCTAATAGACAAAGGTTGTAAAAAACAAGGAATGTAAGGAATAGTGATTTCGCCGAAAAGCATACTGATTATTCGGATAAATAGCAATATTTTTTCTTTAAAAAAAATCATTAATAAATGTTATTTTTTATATATCAATAAGTTAAATCATTATTGAAAATTAATCAAAACTTAACTATATTATTCGTTTGGGGTAAAGGAGGAAAAAAAAACAAATTGTTAAGAATTAAAATATTTAAAATAAATCACAAACTAACTAACAGCTATTTTTGAAAAAACTGAAGATAAAAAGTTGAAAAAAAGAAATAGAAAAAAACAAAGCAAAACTTTAATGATAAAGATAATATTTTCAGGAAAAAAAATGTCCATAAAAAGTCAAAAGAAATATAGTCTAACAGAAACGTTTTTAAAAATGCCTAGCTATCATAAAAACGCTTATAAAAACAAATTATTATATATGTAAGCAAAACAGAGAAAATTAAAATTGATCTTAATTCTCGAAATAAAATTTTAAAGCTGAACATCTGTTTTTCAATTACCGTATTTTAAAGAAAAAAGAAATTTTCAAAGTCTGATAAAAACCCACTTAATTACTGTGTCATAGTAAAAACGTAGTTCATAATTTTTATTGTTAATTATTTAACGCGTTCATAATTTTTATTGAAAAAAAAAAGCTAGAGAAACAAAAACTGTTCTTATTTTTTAAAGGAAAAATTTAATGATAAAAATCTCAATTTGGCTTTTCACAATGCCATATTTTTAGAAGAAAAAAAAAGTGAGGATAAAAGAATGTTTATTAGAAATGATCTATGTTATAATAAAAACGCTAATAAAATAAAAAATTAATAAAAAAAAAGCAAAAGGGAATTAGGAAAAAAAAAGTTCTTAATTCCTAAAATAAAAATTTAATGTAGAAAATCACAGTTTTCTTTGTTACCGGTTATCTAATCAACAGTAGAAAATTCCGGGTACAGCATAAAGCAAACCAGTTTCATGTCTTCATATTTTGCTTTTCCATTTGTCTTTCAGAACATAATTTTGAAATCGGTAAGTTTTAGAACTAAACAAATAGGTGCAAAAGCTATTTCTAATGATGTATGGTTAAAAAATACGACATTGGATTCTTTTTATTAAATTTATTCAAATTTCAAAAAAAAAAAATTTCCAAAAAAATACTTTGCCAAACATTTGGCTAAACATTCGGCCAACAGTACATCAGCAAAAGGGCCGAACAGTTGCGAAAATTTCATAAATCTCCTATAATAAAAAATAAAATTAAAAAAATATAGGTTTCTTTCAGAAAAAAACAAAACCAATTGGGTTTGGGGGGGTTCAGGGCTTGATTAAGTTTTTTCAGAGATTAATTAGGTTTTTCAAACTTTAGTTTATCATCATTTTTTTTTTTTCATTATTTACAGTTTTAGAGTAGTACTTCCAGGATAAATAAATATCATTAATATAATTAATAATTAAGACTTTAATAACTATAATTATTAATACACTTTATTATCAATGTCAGTTACATTGATAAATTAGTAATAAAATTTTTTACAGTATTAGGGTCCAATTACCTTTACAGGATTAACCTATTCTGTTTTTAAATTATGAAAAGCTACTAAATGTTTAAGTGAAGAAATAAATTATTCATGTAAATTGAAATGAAAGATATCAATTCTCAAAGCAAATTTTTAACATGAAAAATATATTTATGCAATAGTACATTGCATTACTTATCCAGCTATGTTATTGTGTTGGATGTTATGTACAGTGATAGAGAGCTTCTAGAATAAGCTCTAGTATTTTAACAAGGAATACATTAGAACAAGAATTCTAGAAAAGAAGTATTAATTCACCAGTTTAAGGTGAAAGGTGCTTTATTTTAAAAGTTCCATCCGTAATTGTATCGAATAAGGTCAAGAAAATAGTATTTAAAATATAACTGTAATTTCAATTCTATTCCGAATAAGTTTCTCAAATTTTTTGTGAGAAATACCTCAATAAATGATGTGGAATTTCCAATGTGTTTTTAAAAGGGTTAATCAAAAATTTTAAAGAACAGAGTTTAGAAATAGTGGAAATATAAATATTTCAAGGAATGCAACTTGTAATTTATATTATTATGAACTTATTGTCAGGGGCCCCATCAGGGGGGAAGGCGGGTGCACGATGCGCCCACTTAAAGCTTGGGGGGGGTGAATTTTTACACTAAATAAAACGAATAGTTTGGGGGGAATTTGCCCAAGAATGCGCCCAAGAGCTTGGGGGGGGGATGGGGGCCACTGCTTATTATCTAGAGCTGATTTGTTGATAATAAAATACAATTGTGAAAAAATCCAATCTGGTTTTTTCAAGGGTATTTTCCACAATTTATTTTGTGGTATCAAAAGTTTAAAGAAAATAAATTAATTTAGTGATTTGTTTATTTTTGTTTGTTTTTCTGTAATAAATAATGATATATTTCTACTTTATCTTCAATAAGTATGCATAATATATGAAGAAGTCTATATATTTATTGTCAAGGTTAAATCTTTCTCTTTCATAGCTGTATACTCCATATATTAAAATTATACTTTCAATGACTCAATATTGCATTGCAAGAAATAATTAAGTATCAAAAAAACCACGAAACATAAAATATCATTAAATTTTTAGTCAGTAAGCACTTTTCAGTTTTTTCTTAGAAATGATATGTCATAAAATATAATTTATTCGTGATTTGTTATGGTATCAGGAGTTTATTATAGCATCAGCAGTTATTATGGACTAATAAATGTTCCATCTTGTAAGATGTTTTGAAGAGTGATTAGTTTGTGGTCAAGTTTAAATCTTTTTTTTATTTATTTATTTAAGGTCTGGTGATTCACTAGATCAGTGTTTCCCAAACTTATGACTTTTGAGTACCCTTTCTAAATTTTTCGCAACGCTGTGTACCACTAATAAAAAATTAATGCATTTTTTACTATAAAAAATTGTACAAAAATTAGAAATCGCAACTAGCTGCTGACACCACTAATTATTAACTGTTAACTCTGCAAAAAAATAGCCTATAGAAAAATACGTAATCGTAGATTTTTATGGCTAGCTTTGTTTTTAAATAAAATTTTTGAAATTTTCGTTTGTTGCAAGATATTTCGCATAAGAACGCGTACCCCCTCTAAACGATTCCCGTACCCCCGGGGGTACGCGTACCACACTTTGGGAAACACTGCACTAGATGATTAACAATCGACCACTGCTCAATTGAAATAAAAAATTTAAATTTTACAGATGCCGTAAATTTATACTTTCCAGATCCTGCTGTTAATAAAATTAAAACCGTTTTCTGTTGGGTTTTTTTTTTCTTTTCTTTTTTTTCTTTAAAAGTCTTTAGCCACAACTACAAACTATGATTTTATATGTTAAACTCAGTGTTTCTAAAACTTATGACTTCTATGTACCCTTTCTAAATTTTTCGAAACGCTGTGTACCACTAATAAAAAAATTAAAGTATTTTTTACTGTAAAAAAATTTCACTAAAGTTAAAAATCACAAGTAGCTGTTGACACCACCAATTATTAACTGTTAATTCTGCAAAAAATAGCCAATAGAAAAATACGTAATAGTAAATTTTCATGGCTAGCTTTGCTTCCAAATAAAAATTTTTTAAATTTTCGTTTGTTGCAAGATATTTCGCATAAGAATGCGTACCCCCGTTGGGAAACACTGTGTTAAAGCATCGCACCATATATATTTTAACTTACATTATTTTAATTTTTTTTATTTTTGACATTTTAACTTAAATTTTTTTATCCTATTAACTTTTATGTATGATCTTGATAAGTAATTTAACTGAGATAATTTTCTTTTTTTTCCACTCCCACTACCATTGGAGCTTTATAGGCAATTCCTCAGTTTTGATTATTAACTTTGTCTATCTTGGGGGGGAGGGGGTTACCAGTTTTATTTAATTATTATCCCTTTTAACTTCATTTTATACTAATTTTTTAAATTTTAAATTCTAATGCTGATTTTTCATATCTAAATGAGTGAAGTTTCATCTGAAATGTGGATAATTGGTATTTTCTTTTGGGGGGGGGGTTACTAGTTTTATTTAATTATTATCCCTTTTAACTTCATTTCGTACTAATTTCTTAAATTTTAAATTCTAATGCTGATTTTTCATAACTAAATGAGTGAAGTTTTATCTGAAATTTGGATAATTGGTATTTTCTTTTTTTTGGGGGGGGGAAGGGGTACTAGTTTTATTTAATTATTATCCCTTTTAACTTCATTTCATACTAATTTTTTAAATTTTAAATCCAATGCTGATTTTTCATAACTAAATGAGTGAAGTTTTATCTGAAATGTGGATAATTGGTATTTTCTTTTTGGGGGGGAGGTTACTATTTTTATTTAATTATTATCCCTTTAAACTTCATTTCGTACTAATTTCTTAAATTTTAAATTCTAATGCTGATTTTTCATAACTAAATGAGTGAAGTTTTATCTGAAATTTGGATAATTGGTATTTTCTTTTTTTTTTGGGGGGGGGTACTAGTTTTATTTAATTATTATCCCTTTTAACTTCATTTCATACTATTTTTTTTAAATTTTAAATTCTAATGCTGATTTTTCATAACTAAATAAGTGAAGTTTTATCTGAAATGTGGATAATTGGTAATACTTTAAAATATCCAAAATTTATGATGGTAATTTACTAATTTAATTCATATGGATTAAACCATTGTCCATCATTAATTTTAGCTCTATTTATAATGATTTTTATTATTAACCAGTTTTATTTAATTATTATCCTTTTTAACTAAATTTTATTTATTTTTTAAATTCTCATGCTGATTTTTGAGACGTTAATTAATATTATTCGTTAATATCAGCTCTATTTATAGTGACTTTGAAAAAAAAGAACTTGTATTTTGTTAGCATTCTCCAATTCGTTTTTCTTGAAAAACCTAATTCTATGTCATTTTATTTTTTGAATAGTGAGATTTTTATCTGTATTGTTAGACTGTTATTGTTGAAAATTTTAATTATTAAAAGTTTTAATGGTGATCCCAGGGGTAGAATTCGGCTACTCCGCGACATGGTCACAGAAAATTACAGAGATCTTGTGAAAAGATTTTTCATTTGAGAAGTAAAAAAATTTTGGTTTTCTGCAAAAGATTTTTTTTTTTTTTTTTTTTTTTTTTTTTTTTTTGCAGAATTATATTCTGAAGATTCTTTCTTGTGCATTGGAGGGGATAGAAATGATCATTGTTCCATTCGCTTTGAAAATAAAAAAATTCAGTAATGAAAGGTTTCAGCCAGAATTTCAAAATGATAATAAAAATAAAATTAAAAGATACGTAATCATGAAAGTTTAAAAGATAGTTTGCTCTATAAATATTCATTTTTTCTTCTTTTTTTTTAAGAACACAATATTTTATATTTTAATAAAATATGACTGTGAGTGGGTCCTTTGTTAAGGATTGAGATTTGTTTCAAAAGAATTAATTTTATTTTATAACCATCATTGAAAAACTGATCCCATTTTTGAGTTTATGACTACCTATGTTCAAATCCGTAGCATTTTAATTTTGAACCCAATGCAGAAGACAAAGGAACTCCTGGACAGAGTACTTAACTAAATTTTTCAACTAAAAATAAGCACTTTAAAAATATAAGTAGGATGTGGCGGGGCACTAATAAAAATTACTTCTTCCTATTGTTACAAGTTCTTGATATGAACATTAACTAAATACAAAATAATTTTCAAAGACTTCACATGATCATGATGAGATAACTAGTTTCTGACAAAGAATTCTTTACCTGATTTGATTATATTAGCCGCCATAAAAACAATTTATACACAATTTTAAATATATTCAATATTAAATGGCTCATTTTTTTAATTACTTCACTTCATTATGTCAAAAAAATTTTAATCAAAATTATAATTAATGTATTTTAAAAAGGTTATAGAGTGCATTTTTTAGATTTAAATAAAAGTTATTTATAAAAGCATATTAAACAAAATATTAATAAGATTAATCTTATTGATCATACCCAATTCATAAAGATATGAAAGGAATTTAATGAAACAAGCCAAGACAACTTTGATAAATTCATATTACAAATGTAAATTAGTGAATGGCCCCAAATAAATTTTCATTAAAATTAGTTACTTGGTACAGTATTTCTTTAATGAAATAATAAAAAAAAGAAGAATTTAATTTTGAAGCGTAAATACAATGAGTATAGAAGCTAAATATTTTTTGTCTGAAGTAAATTATTATACGGTCCCTATAATCATAATATTTAACAAATCTGAACTAATTGAATTTTTTGCATGAATTGTATTTAAATCAAATCATTAAAAAATAATTTAAAAAATGACACATGACATTGGAATGACAAATTCGAAAAAGATTTTTTCTTGCTGAATGTACTTGGTTTTTAAAATTCTTTTATTTCTCAGTTTATATTTCATGTGAATATCTTTAAATTAAATCGAATCATACATTTAAATTACCACTTTTTGACGCTCTCAATTTACGCTAATAGTGGTGTTTCGATTGTCTTTTCAGCAATTATTGATAATGATTTTCACGTGGTTTTTAAATATCCCGATATATTTCAGACAATATGAGAAATTCGAATCGCGCATTTGAGTATTTACTTCTTGACGCAATAATTCTATCGTTTCTGATAGTTATTGCGATTGTTATCCACAAAGTACCTATTTTTAAATACCGATATTTTAAATACGATATTCTTTATTACAACAACCAAATTTCGGAGCGAATTACACATTTAAGTAACCTCTTTTTAAAGCGTCGAATTTGCGTGTTCTTTTTTTTTTTTTTTTTTTTTTTTTTTTCGCAGTTAACACCACTGATTTTACGATTTTTAATTATTTTTCCTTAACGTAATGATGATTTACAAAATTCGAAAAAGAATATAATTAATGCGCCTTATCGCCAAAAAATACAAGAATATCGCTCATAATACTATCATAAAAATTATTAAATTTACAATTAAAAAAATTATATTGTTTTATAGTTTGGCGATTTACTAATCTAATTCATAGATATTAATCCAATTAACTTCAATTCTATTGATAGTGATTTCTTTTTTAGAAAAAAAAAGAAGGGAAAGAAAACGAATTTTTATTTGTTGACTTTACCCTCTTTATTTTTCTTGAAAAGCCTAATTTCATATTATTTTATTGACAAAAAAGATTTCTTTGCTGTTCCATATATGTCATTATAGATAAGTCAGAGTTAAATAAATCTTATTGAACTCACAATTACGATTTCATTAGCAACTTCGGCTTCATAATTTTAAGATATTCAACTTAAAATTATATATACTTACAAATAAAATAACTTTGGATAATGCTGAAATGAATAGAGATAGTGTGACAGATGAATCCTGAAGCTGCTCGTGAATTACAAAACCAAATGAAATGCAACTAATAACTAGTAAACAAGTAGTAGAAACCTAGAAAAAATACATGTGTTACTTGAACTCATAAGCAATAAAATTTCACAAATAAACAACAGTGGCTACAGAAGACTAAAGATGCCCGAGGGGGGATTCCTCCTGAAAAGAGGAATGTAACACAGTAACATAAGAAAGAGGACAAGAAAAAGAAAAAAAAGTAGAAAGATTAATGTTTACAGTAATTCAATTCTATACTTGAATCCATATTTTAAATAGATTCAAGCACAAATTATATTTTTATCAAAAGTTTATTATTTCAAACTAAATATTTCTTTCTTTTTTTTAAATTTGACGAATATTTAAATTTAAATGATCCTACAACGTCAAAAGAAAACTTGTTTGATAAATCTAATTTTTTTCTCTTGATTCACAAAATACTTTAATTGAATCAAATGTTTTCCTGCTTAAAAAATTTAGTTACACAAAAATAAAAGAAAGAAAAAAATTTAGCTTTTAAAGATTAAGTGACCTTGATCGTAAATTGAATACCCTCTTTGGCTGGATGCCTTGAGCCCGTGCGTACTCTTTCCCTAGTAACGCTCCTGTTTAACAAAAAGTTTTAAAATAGGACACCTTGTCTAGAAAGTGTTTAATAAATGAAAGAGTGAGTAAATGAAAATTATATGAGAAGAAAATACAAATACATTATTTTTACTTTTCCATCAGTGGCTACAGTATAATTTTTCTTATTAATTTTAAATATAAATAATTTATGTTAATTTTATAAATTTAAATGTGATGTTACAACTCTATTTTAAATTTAAAATTTTCTCTTTGTTTAGAGTTATTTTTAATCAGAAATTTATAAACCATATAACTTTTTTATTCAATTCTTTTTTATTCAACGCATTCTTTCATTTAAAAGAAAAATTCTCTTTAAAATCAATAAATATATTGTTTACATGGGCTGTGCTGCAGTGATCTGATTTTATGTATTAAAATAATAATTTACTTTTAAAAACAAACAAATGCTTTGCAAAATTTTCAATTTCTTTTTTTTCTTTTTTTATAAAAAAGGAACATTATTCCATTTTATTTTTACTTCACTAAGTTATTTTTCAAACTGCAAACCAAGTGCTGGAACATAAGTATCAAAAGTATACAAGTATCAAAAGTATAATACAAGTATCAAAAGTATAATACAAGTATCAAAAGTAGAATTTTACAATGACATGAATAAACAAAAGGTAGTGATGATTTAACAGTTTTCAACTATAACTGAATTAAATTTATTAATTCTTTATTTAATGTTTTCAATTCTAAATTAATTATTGATATATTATTTTTTAACTAAAATAAAATTCTGTAATTCATCTTTAAAATATGAAGTGATTTACAACATATTTATGTACAGTAAGCATTTTTTAAGCATGTTAGTGATTCAATAAAAAAGAAATTATAGTTGTTAAGAATTTATTAACAAACAAATTTTTCATAAACTTAAGTATAAGGAATCAGAAAAATTCTCTTACATCTAAAACAGGCTCAACAAGTTGTTTTTTTTTCTAGGATTGTTTTACTTTGGAAGAATTTCACTGTTGTAACAGAATTTTCAGAAAGTTCTTTAATAGGAAATTTAAATATTTCAATTACTCTTCCAATCCAAATCCAAACATCATTCCACTTTTCAAATTGTCTTAATCTTAAATCTTGACAAATTTAAGACATATTTGATGTCAGTGATATTAGAAATTCAAAAAAGAGAATAGTTCTCTTTTATTTCATTATACTAAAGCAATATTTGATTACATTAATATTTTCAACTCTGAAACAGTACACTTTTATGGGTATTTGTTAGATACCTAAACCCTCCTATTGATCCTCTTATTTATAATTTTCTTAACAGCTTTTTCTTTGAATGTATATCAAAAAATTCTCAACATTCAGTTTATTAAAATTTTTAAAGCAAATTGTTGTTCTATTAACTCATTAATTTGTGAATTTCTATTTATAACAACTATTAAAATTTATATTTCAATCAAATACTTAAATGACAAATAAAATTTTAAAAAATTTCAAGCAATGTAGAAATATAAACGGCTTTTATCTAAGTACATATCTGAATTAACTTTAAGTAATTATCTTTAACTATGAGATTTCTTAAAAAATTATTCAGTAGGAAACAATTGCTAAGGAAAATTAATTTGTTTTTAACAAAAACTAGGGAACCAAAAATAGATTTCGGAAAAACATATTGTTTAGTTAGGGACTATTTACAGACATGACAAAAAATTTACTGATTGAAATTTTAAAGTTATCAAATTCTTATTTTTCAAAAACAAATTTTTCTTTTCATATATACATAGTATGATGATACTATTAAAAATAATTAACATAAATTAAATGATGAAACTATTTTAATAATTGAAGCATTAAATTGAGACCTTAAATTAAGAGATTAAATTAGGACCTTAAATTTCCCACATTCCTTTTTTTTTTAAAAAAAAACTTACACTTCAATTTTTCAAATTAAAATTAATGTTTCAACTTAATGCTTTTAAAAATCGAACAGCATAGCATTAAAATGAAATGCATTAGAATATACATTGGAATATACAGTTCAAACGCTTAAATGTGTGATGAATCAATTTTGGAAATTTTGAAATTTGGTCATTTTGGTTTATTCAAGCATTAAATTCGAATTTAAAAAAAACTGCCACTAAATTATATTAAAATAGTCAAATTTTTTTAATTTTTCGCAGATAAATGAAGTAAGCTTAAATACATAGCTGACAATATTTAAATATATTTAAAAAAATTCTTTCAGTACATTTAAGTATTATGAAATTAAGTAATATAAAAAATTAAGAATATTCATAACATCAAATAAGGTTCACATTCAAAAAGCAATTTTTTCCCCGATTTTTTCCAGGTATTTATGTAAGATTTGAGGGCTTAAAAAAAATAGCAACAAAACTTTTTTTTTATGAAATAAAAATGTAAATTACAATTATAAATATCACAACTCTAAGAAAGTATTGATAAATAGTTTTTATTTAAAAAAAAGTCAGGTGATTTACATAATGTCAACTCTGATTAGAAATAATAAATTGCCAGAACTATAAACGTGACTGAAAGAAAAAAAATAAGACGGAGGGAATTTACTTGGCAATATTTTTTTAAAAAATCAATTTTTTACAAGTCCGGTGTTGTTGCAATAAAATAATAATAAAAATATATAAATAATCTGCGTAAAATTTAAATTAAATCGCATTTAATCAACGTAAAAACAATTTCGTAAACAAAAAAGCAATAAACAAATAAAATCCAATATTAGCATCTATTAAAAATTAATTATGGGAAAGATAAACATCAATAAGATTTGAAAACTTTATTGAACATAAACATAGTAAAAACACTACTTAACTATATTAAAAACAAACTATATTAAAAACAAAATTATTTAGAAAAAAAAATTTTTAACACCACTAATTAAATCATCCTAAAAAGAAACTAAGAAGTACATAAACAATTCATATTTAATTAAAATCAATCCATATTTATTAAGTTTAGTCAAAAAGAATAAATAACTAAAAAACAATGCTTTTTATCAATAGATAAAAATAAATAAATCAACTATTTATAATTCTTAGCTATGAAGTAAATAATTAAATTTTCTTAAAATATAAAGAAATCGGCAAGAAAACGAAAACTAAAAGTAGAACTTACAAATTAATAAAATAAAAGAACAACTTTTCAACGTCTAAGTCAATATGAAAAAAATTAAAACAAATTAATTAATAAAAATGTTTCACTAATAATCTGTATTAAATTGAAATTAAATTATATTTAATCAACTGAGGAACGTTTTTAAGAAGAAAAAAAAGAGGGGACACGAAAAAAAAAACTATCAAAAATTATATCTGTTAAAATTTTCTATTTAAAAAAAATTAATCATAAATAAAAGTGATAGAAAATATAAATTACTTTAGAAAACTCGCGAAATTAATTTTTAAAAAAATTAAATAAATACCAAACCAACAAAAAAAGAAACTAACAAATATATAAACTAACTCATGTTATTTAAATAGGAAAAAAAGAAAGAAAAATAAAGAAAATTACTTCAACTCAAAATGATACTTGATCTTCGCAATGTTGAATTATGAAACAAAAAAAACATGCGTTTAATAGTGGCATAATATGCATAAAAGTATGAGTTAGCAGGCTTTTGATTGTACAAACCCAATGGCCATACCTGCAAAATATTTTAAACCAAGGGACATTTAGAACCTCCTCCCCTCTGAAAATGAAGAAAGAAAAAAACGGAAAAATATTTCTACGCAATATTAATTTTAATTAACTGATGATATTTCAACTTCGCAATGAATTATGAAACAAAAACTTACTTAATATTGCGGCATATATGCACATTAAATTTTGAGTTAAAAAACTTATGATTGTAAGAACCGGGGACCCCCATCTTCAAAATGTTTGGAATCAAGGGTCCTTTAAAAATTTGCTTCCCCTCCTCTAAAAAGGGAAGAAAAACACTTCTATCCAAAATGATACTTCACATTTGCAATAATAAATTATGCAACAAAAACATACTTAATAATGCAGCATGATAATGTGCATTAAATTCTGAGTTAACAAGCTTTTGGTAGTACAAACTGGGGTCTTAACCTGCAAAATGTTTTGGAAAAAAAAAAAAAAAAAAAACTCAACCCAAAACTTATACTTCGCAATGATGAATAATGAAACAAAAGAATACTTACTTCGGCAATAATATTTATTTCTGTTTAACATTTTAATGGCGATTATTAATTTAATTTTATATTTTAATATTAAACAGAAGAAAAAAAAAGTTGTTATATACATACTAAATTATTACAGCTTTAGCAACGCTAATTTAAGAAAAATTAAGAAGCTTAAACTCCTTGAAAAAAAATTACATCATTCACAGCCGATTTTGCGCAATTCATTATCGTGTGCACAGTTCAGATCAAATTTAGTTAAAATCTGAAAAAAAATCCAAGCAATAAGTTTTGTAATTCTTC